TTGAATTTAGGGTACCAAGCAGAAGTACCCCTGGGGGGGAATTTCATGAGCTGAGAATGATTCTCCTCTCTCCCAGTCTAAGCACTGCTGTACAGAGTATGACAGGAGGCTGCTATTAATACAGATTCAGGTATCTACACTAGCTGCATTTATTTTTCTTTAATTCTATATGTGACTGGATTTTCACTGCCACTGTTCATGAAGGACGCTCCTGACACAAGGTCTGTACCATCAATCCATTGGAGCAAGGATCATCTGTCAATGGTAAATAAGGATGTGTTGCTGACCCAAGGCTCCACCATACTCCGCCCCGCCTGGAGAACACAAGCATTTCTGCTGGATGAATTCCCCTTTTATGGAAACATGAATGAGCAGCTGGACAGAAAACAGTTAAATTATGGGAAGTTTTGGCAGGAGACAATGATGAATATGTTTACGGTAAGGCAATTCATTAAAAAAAAAAAAAAAAAAAGAGAGAAATATAAGAGAGATGCCACGATCTTGCAATTCCTCCCGTCACAATAAATCAGAGGAGAGGGAGACAAAAGGAATTATATCTGCCGGGCCAGAGACGCACCTGTGACAGAGAGATGAATTGATGGAGGAAAGAGGAGAACAATACTGTGCAATGAAATACAGCACAAGAGGATCATGACCTGAGCAACATGGGGAGACGGACGAAAACAGCGTAGAGAGATTAAGGCCGGTGTATGGCGTAGATCACAGAAGAGAAGGCTGCATACGCCACAGAGTGCAGAAGACAAGGAGTATAAGGCCAGTGTCTACTGGGTTTTATTTGCGTCAAACAGGTTTTGCAGTTCAAGTCTGAGAACGCAAAACCTGTTTGAAGCAGGTCAAATGTAGGTCAGAAGGAGGTCAAATGTAGCCATCAATGAACAGACCCTAAGGCACAAACTGCAGAGGACAAGGTGGTGCACAGCACTTTTTTTGTGACCCCCTTCCCCCGAGCTCTTGCCAAGATGTGCAAGTATACACACTTACCTCCCTATGTGTCTAGGGGCAGTCAAATCGATGACCAAGTCCCATGCACTGACTCCTCCCAGTCCAACAAGCTGGCATCCATCCTTAGAATCTTCAAAAAGACAGGAAGAAAGGACTACCCCGCTTCCAGAGCCACAAAGCCAGGACACCCCAGCCCTCTGTGCCAAATGAATCAGTCTGTCCAGTGAAGACAGAATATTGTGTTGCTGGGGTCTGGAGTGAAACTGGGCAAATAGGACTGCTGCAAAGGAGCCTACCTGTGGCCAGCTCTGGACCCGGAAAGCACTCTGTAGTTTACTTGTTACCAGAACAGAGCATGGAATGCACCTTGCGTGGAAGCCAGTACCCAAAGATCACTTCCAAGGCTAGCCCAGCAAAATCCAGTCCATCGTGGTTTGGACACAGCATGCCTGATAGCTGCAATCAAAGAGACCATCTCCAGGCATGATTATTATTATTACATAGAATTTATATAGCGCCAACAGTTTTATCTTTATTGAAGAAAAATGGTGCTAGTAAAAGTTTATTTACCAGTATCCAATTCTTTTCGAGGTGGCAGTACAACCCAAAAGGTGAATGGATTCCTGTGTCCCTCAATGATTGAGAAAGAAACTTTATGATTTTGAGTTTTGGATAGAGTTGGGAAGGATTGGAGCTACCGTTAGGTTTTATTGGTATAGGCAGACGATATAAAGGTGACAGGTGTTCTAGCATTACCCCAGTAAGCTTAATATTAAATATTATGAAACAAAGGATGAGTATGGCAGTGCTGCAGACTTAAAATGAGGTTTGCAATGGCAGCTTCTGTCTTTTCATCCTAACGGGTTGTCTTTAAAGATGTAGAATCCTGAAGTTCGACCACTGTGCATTCCCTTGGCCCATTAAAAGGGGAACCCTGCTACAAGACCGATAAGTGATGCCTCTGTCTTGTAGCAGGGTTTCCTAGCTGCACATCAATGAGCTTATTCATCCACTGACATCTTGTATATCAAGACCACCACTGGTAAGATCCCCTGCCAAGTTCCCAGCTCTGCTTCTCCTTCTGGAAAACGAGTCTCACTACTGCTGCTTTAATCTCTGAAATACAGCCATGAAAGTGATACCCACGATAGGTGAATCAGCTCAACACCATTCCCAGCTGAAAGCAGGGCTGTGCTTTCCCCATGTGTGATAAAGCAACCGGTTCTCTTTAAAGCTCCCTCCCCTATGCTCACCTTTTCTTCACCCATCTACTGGGAGCTATGAAGGAGCATGTGACTGGTGCTTCGCGATTGTCCCAGTGGTGTCACATGGCGAGAAGTGCCCTCAATTCCGACTGGAACCACTCATCTTACACAGGGATAATCTTTTCCATTATGAGCGGCTGAACGGAGCAATGGCGGAGTGAAGAAAAGATGAGCTTGTGCAGCTGGGGAGGGGGCACTAAAGAGAACCTGTTGCTTTGCCCTACATGGAGGGAGCCAGACCTTTAAATTGACTTCAAGGGCAGAAACTCTGTCTGGTTCTACAAAAACCCAAATGAATGAAGGAAGTGACTTATAGGTCAGGAGAAAGAATAACCAGGCTGATTAAAGACCCCGATCCATAAAGAGCTCCCGCTGACCCCGATTACAAGTCCGGCTACTCTACTGACAGGGAGAAGAGAATGGATCTGGGCTATTGTTCAGATATGTGAAATATTCGGACAGGATCGCAGCCAATCACGGCATGTCCTGCCCCCGCTACATACATCTGTCAGGAATGAATGTCCTGTGCCAGATAACTGTATCAGACCGAAAGACAAAACACAAGGGGGAAGTAGTATAAAAATCATTGAGTTTTAATGATCATCACTCCTCTAAAGAACATAATCCAGGTACTGCACGCTCACGCACCGTTGTCAAACACAAATCAAAACATTTTCTCCCAACACGTCACACCCCCATCCCCTCCCCCCCGCCCCCCATCTTGGACCCTTGGTGTGTGGAAATGGAACTGCATGGGGACAGTCATGCAGTATGATCACTGCCTGGAAGAAGAGGCTTTCCAAACCAATTCCACTCATGTCCGATTCTAACACTTGGAATCTAAATGTCTCCTTAAAAGAGAACTATGGGGTAAGTGTTTTCCCCATAGTTCTGTTTAGGGTCACGGGAGGACATATACTAGCATCCTCCCGTGACCCTAAGCACAGTATATCGCGAGCTACAGCTCGCTGTATCCGGAGACCGCCAGCCGGGACAGATCCCGACATTACTGTTGAGATCCACCCAGCTGCGTGAGTGACAGCGGGCTCTGCCTACCTAGAGGCAGAGCCAGCTGTGCCCGACCCCTCCCTGTCCATTCCTCCAGTCAGCGCTGGAGGATCGGAGCGGGAATCCCTGCAGGGAGCTGTGAGTGACAGTCACCGCTCTCTGCAGGGAGACGATTGAGAAGTGAGCGAGCGCCGGTATGCGTTCGCTCACTTCCCGATCTATTGAGCCAACATGTGACAGATTCATTGCCACACGTCGGCTCGAACTATGAGAATGAGTCATTTTCACTCACCTCGTAGTTCTCCTTTAAATAGAACTCGCATATAATAAGCGACGTAGCTGGCAGTCTTCTGAAAATGCTAGTTTGCACGGCATGGCGGCCTGAGCAGCTGGAGGCTCCCTTTTGCTCTTCCACCAATCCGTTCGGTCATGGCGAACGAAGAGAGGACGCCATGTAACTTACACGGGCCTCATAACCCTCTCTCCGACCCCATAAGGTGGTAACAGTGGGTGCATGAGCAGCCAATCACAAAACACCAAGGCTGTCACATGAGAGGAAGAGAGCTCATCCATATACCTTGAAGAACTGGGGATTTCTTGTTCCATAGGACGCGACATCAAGGAACTAGTATTTCCAGAAAATAAAAGCCAGCAGGGGGGCCTCCAGGATTCCTTCATCAAGGTTGCCTTTTGAAGGACCTTATTCATCAACATACATCAAATCCCCAGTTAGACTTACCAGTAACGGTGTTTCTAGGAATCTTCCAGGACAGCAACCTGAAGCTTGCTGTCCTGGAAGATGATTGGGGAAACCCCCAGTTAGACTTACCGGTAAATGGTGTTTAAGAATCTTCAAGGATAGCAAGCCTACTTCAGGTTGCTGTCCTGGAAGATGATTGGGGAAATGAACACCTACGTGTATTTTCAGTTAGCAGATATTTTAAGTTATTATTATAATTGTTCCCTACAAGTAATGTGTTTTATGCAACTTCCACTCCCCCCCCCATACTTCCTGTACTAGACTTCCATTCTGGCGTTACATACATTGGATTTGTAGATTCTCTTTCTAATGGTTGTCTTTATTCCACCACAATATCACAACCTTGTTTTTAAGTCAGTCAGTCCCGACTGGTAGACTTGCATTAAACACAGAGGAGCAGTATGGCACCAACCATTGTGCAGCACTACTACACCTGCATATGTAATGAAATATGGCTGCCCTCATGTACATAGAGAATTACAAACACTATATAAACACAAGCTTTTGACATATCAATTAATCATTTCCTTCTATGTGTAGCATGTCAATTATAATAATGGGAGCAGCCATGCTTCCTCAGTACAGGCTTTGCTGTCCACTATGTATTGATGTACAGCAGGGGTGGGCAACTCTGACCCTCCAGCTGTGCTTTAACTACAGATCCCAACATGACTCTGGGAGTCATGTCTAAGTGTCAGTCTTGCAAAGCCTCATGGGGCTTGTAGTTCTGCAACAGCTGAAGGGCCGGGGTTGCCCCTTCCCTGATGTACAGCGATTGTGCTTTGTTGTTCCTTTCTTGCTATACAAGTCTAACAATGACTGCAAACGACAAATGCCATGTGGCTTACCCTTTTATCTCAGCAGTTGTTCGACTGCACAGCTAAATACATTCCTGAGGAGACAGCCATTAAAAAAAGAATCTACATATTGGAGTGGCGCCCTGCATGTGAAAGTCAATACAATACAATTTCCTTTGTAATAACTTGTGTCGCCCTCAGCCGCCAATCAGATTCCAGCCTTCTGACACAATGAATGAGTGGAAAAGGAAGTAGGAGCTCTTGCTGTAAGCCTGTGGTCATTCCTTTAGGTAGAAGTGCATTTTGTCGTGGATGGTTTTGCGGTCGGGGTTCAGTCTCTTCAGAATCTGGGCCAACACGTTCACCGTCTGCTCGCTGCTCAGTCCAGTCTTCTTGGTCTGGAACTTCTTCAGCAAGTCTTTGGTCGTCATCGGCTTGCGGGTCAAGTACCTCCGGACGGCCTCTTCCGTCAGCTGGATGTCCCTAGAGAAGGAAGATGAAAAAGGTTTAAAGCAGAACTCCAGCCTCACCCATTTCTCACCATCTGGTGCTCAGTGGAAATCTGCTGCTCTTTCATCTTCAGCCCTCTCCCCACTGAGTGCCTCAATTTTTTTATAAAAGGGAACTGCAGCAGACAAACTTCCGGTCTGTGTGACACCAAGCTTTTCACAAGTCCCTAGGGCTGTCAGATGCCCCCCCGGGCAGCACACAACTTCCAAAGAGCCAATTTCACCTGGATGAGAATGGGTTAGCAGCAGAACCCACCTCCTCCCCGTGACCACTGAATCATGGGGCTCAGGAATTCTTCTGCAGCAGACAAACCTCCTGTCTGTGTGACACCAAGCTTTTCACAAGTCTCTAGGGCTGTCAGATGCCCCCCCGGGCTTTAGGCTGGGTTCACACCTGAGCGTTTTTTTTATGCTCGTTTTTTCGTTCAGTGAAACACGCATTTAACTGGCGGTATGATTATTATTATTTTTTTTCCCTTTATTTTCTCTATTTTTTACAATTTTTTTTAGTTTCACTTTTTAATTTCCCACCGGCTCCATCCCCCTGTGACGCGGCCGCTCGCAAGGGACGGAACCCGGAAGTCGGCAACCGCCAAAGACACAGCGGGGATCGTGGACAAGGTAAGACCTGTACGCTGTATTCCCGAGTGTGGCTCGGGGTTACGGCTTTGTTAACCCCGATCCACACTCGGGAATACCAATGTCAATGCGCGGCAAAACGCCCCAAAGAAGCTCCTGTACATCTTTGGGCGTTCCTACGCGCTGCAAAACGCCCGGGTGGGAACCATGCCCATAGGCAATCATTGGTTTTCACATGTTGAGCGTTTTACAGCGCGGTGGAACGCGCTGTAAAACGCCCAGGTGTGAACCAGGCCTTAGGGAGAGTCAATCATAGCTGCTGAGTCTTGTGTGTGCACACAACTTCCAAACAGCCAGTTTCATCTGGATTAGAAAGGGTTAGCAGCAGAGCCCACCTCCTCCCTATGCCCACTGAATCATGGGACTCAGGAACTCCTCTGCAGCAGTTGTTCAGACTAGTGTTTTAGGTTGTGCAGTGTAACCTGGACGGCAAACACATGTAACACATATCTAGTTTGTCATCCTCTGTGGTTCACATGATGTCTGCAAAAATGTCAATCACTGTTACAAGGAGCATAACTACAGTGATGCACTGGCTCCATCTGATTTCTTCTACCAGCCAGTGCACAGCAGGATGAAAAAGCAGCATGGATGGTCATGTGATCCCTTCCTTAGTCTTAAGACAGATAACCTGTTAAAATAAGGGCATGAATTTGCACAGTAGAAGGCATGGAGTGGGTGGGGGGTTGTGTTGAAATGTATTAATATTGCATACCAGGCCTTCATAACCATGTCCCAGCACTCTCTATGGTTTCCATTCTCCTACATATTATTTTCCCAAACATGTTACAATGTAACTGTACAATCTCCTTTAGATCTACCAACAACTATGCAGTACAAAGGCCTAAGAGACTGGCTACAAATTGAACGGATTGTTGGGTAGTCCTTCACGTCACATAGTTCTGGTTGTACAGAACCGGAATGTGTATGGCTGCCTTTACATGCCATCTCGTCATGATCATATATCTCGTGTGCTACCAATACTCCTATGAATACAGTGGGGTATACACCGTTCTATTTTCTTTCATTCAACCTGCAGGCTGAATGAAAAAATGAATAAACAGACTTCTCCATCAACACTTGTGAGTGATGGATGAATCCCCCCGCTGTCTGCTTTACATTCTGACAGCAACCGGTGACCGCCGTCAGAATACAACTTATTGGCTTCTAGCTCCGCTTGGCTGAGAATTTTCCAGCCAGCTCCTTTGGGCCGCCGATCGAGGGAGGCCAGGTGGAAGGGTGCTGACAGTGGCACCCTTGGCACAAATTTCAGGTTCATCAGTATCTGCTGAAATTCGAACCGCGTGTGCCCAACTTAAGCGGCTGTGTGCGTGTAATATGTTAAGTCTCTGCTTATTTCCCGTGTTAACTTTATGGATCAATAAAGAAGCCAATTGTGGAATAGGTCGGTGTGCCGCTATCCAGTTTTCTGGAACAACACTCCTCCTCGTGGTTGATTGTGACGCTGCACAATGTGCACCTTCCATGAGGAAATCAGAACAAGTATTACATGCCAGACTGTGCGAAGCCCAAATAACACATCTTGTTCAATGAATGTCTATTGCCTGTTTCCAGCAACGACTGGTGACGCGGGAATGTACTCCTCCGGGTCAGTATATACATTTTGACTTGCACTGTATATTTTTCATATTCCATTCGCTGTCATGGAGAGCAATGGTGTTAAAGGTCCACAGTAAGGGCTCATGTCCATCCGTTTCAATTGAGCAGTACCCATGGCAGTTCAGAGGCTGCGTTTGACCAGCTTTGTGTCGCATTTCTTTGGATGCAGCATATCCCATTGAGGTGAGTGTGCACTGCAGGCAAAGCAACCTTTGCTTGTCAAACACAGTGTTTAAAAGTGCACCCGCTGACATGAGCCTCAAGTCAGAATTGCTGTGGTGCAGTGCCAGACGGGGAGCACAGCATGGAGCAAATGACTATGGCTGGCTACATGTACATATATTATTAAAAACGATACAGAACACGTGGCTTTTAAAACATTACCTGGTAAGATTTCCGTTAAGCTGATCACATTTGTACCTAAAAATGGCGAATGATCCCCTTTAAAAAAAAATTATAAAATGGCGCCCATGAAGACATGTAAAAACCTAACACAAAATTCTGAGGATTCTCGCGTGACAATGTCAGATATGAATTGTGTTATCGCTTACCCGCTGCACGGTGTGGATTTCCCTGACTGCGGTTGTGGGGTCGATTTTCCAGACGTGCTCGGCGGCCCAGACTCCATTTTTAAGCGTTTTGCGGCTGGCGTATGAGGAAGGGCGCCGCGTTTACCTGACAAACAGAAAAACGAGAGGGTGTTAGACAGGCGGAGGAGACAACTGAAGACTCGGGCTGCTGATCACCAGTTGCTGCACACACCTTGCTCCAGTTTGCTGGCTGCAGCTTTGAGAGTGTTGGAAGTGTTGGCGGAATCTGGAGTCGGGGTACCGGGCCGACTGTTGCCGCGGGAGCTGCTGTTGGAGCCCCCCTTTTTATCTTTCTTCGGGGGAGTTTTCTTTTTCTAGAAAAGATGAGAAGTCATGTCACAGCTTCAAGATAGAAATACAAGAGCAGGTCCTCGTTAATGAGCGATACCTGCATGAAAAGAGCCGAGGATGATTCTTTGTCAATATCGCTGTCGTCTGTTGTGTCCGATTCTTCGCTGCTGTCTGCCAGGGAGACACAAAGTGTCATTAGAGAGCAACTTAACCCTTCCCGTGTTCCCAAGAGACTCATCCCCAGCCTCACCTCCTCTCTTCCTCTTCTTCTCCTGAGGTGTGGTATTTTTCTTCTCTTCATCTTCTTCCTCCTCCACCTTCTCCTCTTCGCTCTCCTCGCTGCTCTCACTCGCCTCATCAATTCCTAGAGGGCATTAAAGAGAACTTCAGCCAAAACGCACAATCACATTATATATAACTTGTCTCACCCCCGCAATCCTGGTCACCCACTCCTGGAGGGGGGCACCTCGATACCAGTGCAGCTTCCTGTGTCACATCTATACCATGAATTAACTCACTGCACAGGGAATTGTCACAGTGGTAAATCCTCCCTCAACCCTCTCCATCCCATGAGAACACCCCTCCATCCCATGAGAACACCCCTCCATCAGGCCGTGTGTGGACTTTAAAGAGCCCCTGGAAAGGCAAAGTGACAGCGTCTCTTTAAAAATGTGGGGGGGGGGGGGGCCACCAGGAGGTCAGGCCAGTTAAAAACCACCTCAGCCCCACCTATACTCGCCTTCCCAGTGTTCACCTGATGCTACGTCCTTTGCTACAGCCACTGCAAAATACCTGGGTATGAGGGAGCATGTGACCTCCTCCCATGATGCAGTGCTCAGGCTTCAATGGCTAATCTGCAGATACGAACGCGGTCACATAGTGGAAGGGGCAAGTTCATGAGTTCTGTGTAAACTCCAGCATGGAACTTAGAGTTCAGACTCCACAACAAAGAGGTCAAGTATAAGTGGGTCAGGGGTGAGCTTTAAAGAGCCCCTAGGTAAAACGACAGAGTCTCTTTAAAAGTGTGAGGGCTCCCTTGGCCATCGCCGTACTGATCATTGCCGGTTTACTCTCTGCCTGAGAAGACAGCACTCTATGAAGTGGACATAGGATGCCATCCCCATGGATTCCCTCTTAAAGCAGCACTTGGGGTAAATAAGGAGTCCGGTGACTACTCACATCTTACCATTAAGCATTCCAATCTAAAATGTTTGCTATATACTGTATGCCCAATGATCACCCGATCATTAACTTGAACGGGTGACAGCGGTCGCTTTTAAATGGCATATTCGGGATTCCTGCCGCAGGAATCCCAACACGCGCATTCACTTTAGGTGCGACTGTGGCCTTAGGCATCATAATTGCTAGAGACCCTCAAGCTTTTATTACTCAAAATATACCCCACATTATGCTTCTGTACGGCACAAGTGCAAAGCCTGGGCTGCGTTACTCTAGAACAGGTTGCATCATTCTGGTCAAAATTATCATCCTGCCAAAAATTCTGTACATGGTCCACCAATCCCCCAAGCCATCTTTTACAAATGGGAAGGGGGTGGTGATGTCACCGCCCCCTCATCCAATAAGAGACGTCTTGTAGTTAATGACAGTGAACTTACTGTATTAGGGGCAGGATTCCCTGATTAGAATAAACATGGCGGATTCCTCTTTTACCTTTAGGCCCATCCTCCTCCTTAGTGACTTTGGGTTTACCAGGAAGTTCATCATCTGAGCTGCTGTAGAAGGACAAAAGTGAAGGTCAAGTCTCCGTCCTTGAGATACGTTCCATCGATGATATAAATCACTACAAATGGAATTCTCTGATACCTGCTCCGATCGGACATGTAATCCACTTCCTGTCCCTCAAAGTCGCCGTCGTCGCTGTCCTCTATGCCTTCGTCATCAACCTTATTCTTCTTCTTTTTCTTATTTCGTGCAGCTTTTTGAGCCTTTGGCCGACGCTCACCTTAAATAAAAGACGAAATCACTGAATGACATCACTGCTCAACTATGAATGCCCAAATGGATCAAAAGATCCATAGTTCTAAAGCTACCAAGAAATGCTATATATATATATATATATCCCCATATACAGGTATATCTCCATATACAGGTATATCTCCATATACAGGTATATCTCCATATATATCCCCATATACAGGTATATCTCCATATATATCTCCATATACTGTATATCTCCTGTATATATGCCTGCATACGGTAAGGTCCTGGTATCACACCAAGATGCCCTAGAATAAGCCCTATGGTGACTGCCCCAATGCTCCCAGGTCAGAAGACATATGGATCAAAAGGATCTACAGTTATGTAATATATGTCATGTCCTCCAAATGATCCTTCAGGTTTATTTATAAGTATGAACCAATAAGAGCATCAGTATTAGCTGCTGGGGGCTCCGACCGGTCTGTGTGATGGGTGGGTGTAGCAGAGCCCCAAGTCGGTGCCATATTTACAGCGTGCTCTGGGTCTAAGTGACTCTCCGGCCACGAAGAATAGAATCTGTCTGATGAAGGCATTCGCAATACCCTCATCATTAGGAACTGGGTTCTATCACTGACACCAATTCCGGTGTGGTGCCTCTGCCCACTCCTCCAGCCATTTATAAAGCCACGTGATGATGATGTGGCTGCACTTTATGAATGGCCTAGCAGAAGGAGTGGATCAGAGGTACAATGCTGGAACTGGTGTCTGTAATAAACCCGGGTTTGATGTAGATGGCACCTGGAAGTATGACACCTGCTGAATATTCTGCTGCCATTAAGTGGAGCATAGTAAGTAAAGACATGGACTGTTTGGTGGTGAAAGAAGAGGATCATCTTCTGAATATCCTGGAGCCGGGCTTTAGGGACATGACAAGTTCAGCCGAAGCTCCATGTACCTGCTGCTTCTATCATAGGGGTGGTCTCATTCTCTGTTAGCTCTACATGGCAGCAGGTGCGAGACCCCCTTGGTTAGTTTCACGATGGCTGTGGTCACAGTGCAGTGAACCGTCATCTCCGCTGCCCTCGCTCTCGCTGGAGCTCATCTCCAGATCATCCTCCAGGTCATGGATTTTCAGGTCACTCTTCTTTTTCTTGCTCTTCCCTCCCTTGTCCTGCTTGCCACCTCCTTCCTCATCGTCCTCATCCCCTCCACCTTGGTCCTTCAGGCGGCGTTGCTGCATAATGGTGAAGTGGTTCAGGATTTTGTTTCGCCTAAAAAAAAAAGATGTTGAAGGGAAAGTAAACCTGTAGTAAGGAATTAGTGCTGATGCCACTGCGGGTTTTCTCAGTTGATGACATTAATGCACATTAGGGGAAAGAAGCAGCCAATTTTACCCTTTGGAAAACTATATACAATAATGCTCAACGTTGTCACCCAAGAAAAGATCCAGCATGTGGCCATTTCAGTCCCTTTAGTTTGTCATTCAAGGATGTGTTCGGGCGCCACCATGTGGCCATTGTAGGTGCTGCACCTTCCCCTTATTCAGGGATAACGTGTTCCAGCGCCACCATGTGGCCATTTCAGTTCCTGCGCCTTCCTCTAATTCAGGGATGTTTCATCGCCACCCTGTGGCCATTTTAGGTGCTGTACCTTCCCCCTCATTCAGGGATATTGTGTTCCTGCGCCACCATGTGGCTATTTTAGGTGTTGCACTATTTCCTTAGTTACCAATTACTTGCCAGGTACTAAAACAAAAGTCGAGCTGTTTTTTTGTTGTTTTTTTTAATGGCCTATTTATTTTGTGCTTTAGTTTTGCTTTAACTGCTAGAACCACAAAATTATTTATCACATTGAGTGCAGGTCTGATCAGCACATCCTCCTCTCCCTGCGCTGCTCTGCAGTATGTGCCCAGCGCTGTTATCCACGTCCTAACAATGTGGAGGTGGGAGGATTATTTTTCCCAGAAGAAACCCCAACATATTTTTTTTAAATTTACAGTCACACCTAGGACAGAGGCAGCGCGGGCTCCTTCACACTATACTGGAAGTGGCGCAGCGCTGCGGATATTTTACCAACAAGGCCCTCACCTTTCCCATTCCTGTTCGGCCTCTTCTGCAGTCAGCGTCCGATGCTTGGCCAGGGGTGTGAAGTTGTACCAGTTGGAGACAGGGAACGCTTCGAACGCTCCGTCAGGACACTGGGTGAAGATGAAGTAGGAGGCGTTCTCGGTCACTCCACCTTTTTTAATTCCTTTAAACCTGTGGAGACAACAGACGCACATTGACTGCTGTCCTGACACTAGGCCATGCGTACACCCCGTCATCAGTCTCCCTGCGGTCGACTCACTTGCGTCCGGCCTTGCCGTTAACCCTCAGTAACCAGGGCTGGTCCTCCACCTTGAACTGTTTGAGAATGATGCCGTACTTCTTGCGCCTGGACTCCTCCCTCAGCTTACGATTAAACTCGCTGCCAGCCCCGGTATCAGGCAACTCCTCATCCTGATACATCTTCTTGGCGCTCAGGTCACGCTCCATGCGAGCCTGGATTGTGCAGAAACACAGGTGAGGTGTACATCATAGAGCAGTTCTGGTAATGCCTATGATATGTATCATATCCATTCACCTACAACTAGTAAGATACCATGTCACAGCACCAGACAGATTCTCCTCCTTCCCTGTCCACAGACATATTACTTACCAGGGGAGTGTGCACTATCTGTGAAGACCCCACAGCTAAGGGGAGGACCTCACTTTTAAAGAAAACCTATCGCCATTTCCCTTCCAAAAGACCTGTTATGCCTACCGGTCCCACTACCTGTTCCCCAACCCTCGACTGTTATTATTATGCAGGATTTATACAGCGCCAACAGTTTGCACAGCGCTGTACAATATAAGGAAGGCATTACAGAAGCAATACAAAGCAAGACAAGATGGTAAGGAGAGCCCTGAGAAAACAAGGATGAGTAGTTTTGCGGTTTCTTTGGTGAGGAAGGGGCGTATTTTGGAGATGTTAAGAAGGTGAAGGCGGCAGGATGTGTATAGGGATTGGATGTGGGGAAGAAAGGTGAGGTCCGAGTCCAGGATGACACCTAGGACCTTGGCATGAGGGGAGGGATGGATAGTTGTGTTATCAACCTCAATGGAAAAGTTGGGGGAAGGTGCACGGGGGGGGAATATCATGAGCTCAGTTTGTGAAAAGTTGAGTTTTAAGAAGTGTTGTGACATCCAGACGGATATGTCAGATAGTAGATCAGTGACACGAGAGGACACAGGGTGAGCTGTGGAGTAGAAAGATAGATTTGAGTGTCATCGGCATAGGGATGGTATTGGAAGCCATGTGAGGTGATCTACTGACCAAGGAAGGAGGTGTAGATAGAGAAGGGGTCCAAGGACTGAGCCTTGGGGGACCCCTACAGAGAGAGGGAGAGAAGAAGACTGTTCAAGACATACAGACATGGAATTGATGGCGGATATAAGTGCAGTCGCTTTAAAAGTGAACCTGTCAGCCATTTGTAACTTTAAAAAGTACAAAGGGTCAATTTACTAAGATAATGCAATTCAGTGTTCATTACCGACGTCAGTCCCCTCTCCCAATATACGTAAAACATCTCTTATATTCGTTCATATTCATTCCCACAAGTACAGGTGTCAGCTCTGATATAAGAGATATCTCTAGAACGATTGTTACTACATCTATAGAACTATCAATAGATATCTCTGGCAGAGAGCACAGAGGTTGGTCAGCTCACAGGACCTCTGGCAGGATCAATGGGGATGATTAGAGATCGTGCTATATGGACAGAACTGCTTTGGATGGTATAATTACGCGTCTAAATGAAGGTAATAAGAGAAGCTCATTGTTGGGGTTCACATACACCTTGAAGGGTCCTGTGATACTCTGACTAGGAGGAGGAGGAGGAGGAGGAGAGGTGGTCGCATATGAGGAAGACATCACAGACATGTACCTGGTTCCATGTAGAGAAGTCCACCTTATCCGCAGCATTGAAGGCCATGACATTGTACCTCTTGCTGGGGTTCCTGTGAAGGAGAGGGGGACACATGAAATGAACTCTGAACACATTATATGAAACAATAAACTGAGAGCAGACCGGATCCCCTTATTGTAGAAGACGTGTTATGTCTCTCCTGCAATAAAACAAACCTCCGTGCCTGTGCACAGTCTTCTCTGGGGTGGGGGTGGGGGACAGGGACGGGGAGGGGTCCAGATGGCACCACGTTCCATCCCAAATATCGGTGTAACATGGAATATGGTAGTGAAGGTGGAACTACGTGTGATCCAGACACTTTACGGCCAGCCCCAACCCCATTGTTCCAGGAGGACGTACACATATGTCTTCCTAGAGTCTCCAAGCCTGCAAGATGGAGCACATCGGCTTTAGGCACAGAGCTGATCTGACCTCCTCTGTGCCTTGTGATCGCTGTGATTGGTCATCACAAAAATCAAATGGCAATGTTTACATTGCCAAGCTCTCATCTCCATCCTCCCACCATATGTGACCAGTACAGTAACCCCCTCATCTCCATCCTCCCCCCATATGTGACCTGTACATAAACCCCCTCATCTCCATCCTCCCCCCATATGTGACCTGTACATAAACCCCCTCATCTCCATCCTCCCCCCATATGTGACCTGTACATAAACCCCCTCATCTCCATCCTCCCCCCATATGTGACCTGTACATAAACCCCCTCATCTCCATCCTCCCCCCATATGTGACCTGTACATAAACCCCCTCATCTCCATCCTCCCCCCATATGTGACCTGTACATAAACCCCCTCATCTCCATCCTCCCCCCATATGTGACCTGTACATAAACCCCCTCATCTCCATCCTCCCCCCATATGTGACCTGTACATAAACCCCCTCATCTCCATCCTCCCCCCATATGTGACCTGTACATAAACCCCCTCATCTCCATCCTCCCCCCATATGTGACCTGTACATAAACCCCCTCATCTCCATCCTCCCCCCATATGTGACCTGTACATAAACCCCCTCATCTCCATCCTCCCCCCATATGTGACCTGTACATAAACCCCCTCATCTCCATCCTCCCCCCATATGTGACCTGTACATAAACCCCCTCATCTCCATCCTCCCCCCATATGTGACCTGTACATAAACCCCCTCATCTCCATCCTCCCCCCATATGTGACCTGTACATAAACCCCCTCATCTCCATCCTCCCCCCATATGTGACCTGTACATAAACCCCCTCATCTCCATCCTCCCCCCATATGTGACCTGTACATAAACCCCCTCATCTCCATCCTCCCCCCATATGTGACCTGTACATAAACCCCCTCATCTCCATCCTCCCCCCATATGTGACCTGTACATAAACCCCCTCATCTCCATCCTCCCCCCATATGTGACCTGTACATAAACCCCCTCATCTCCATCCTCCCCCCATATGTGACCTGTACATAAACCCCCTCATCTCCATCCTCCCCCCATATGTGACCTGTACATAAACCCCCTCATCTCCATCCTCCCCCCATATGTGACCTGTACATAAACCCCCTCATCTCCATCCTCCCCCCATATGTGACCTGTACATAAACCCCCTCATCTCCATCCTCCCCCCATATGTGACCTGTACATAAACCCCCTCATCTCCATCCTCCCCCCATATGTGACCTGTACATAAACCCCCTCATCTCCATCCTCCCCCCATATGTGACCTGTACATAAACCCCCTCATCTCCATCCTCCCCCCATATGTGACCTGTACATAAACCCCCTCATCTCCATCCTCCCCCCATATGTGACCTGTACATAAACCCCCTCATCTCCATCCTCCCCCCATATGTGACCTGTACATAAACCCCCTCATCTCCATCCTCCCCCCATATGTGACCTGTACATAAACCCCCTCATCTCCATCCTCCCCCCATATGTGACCTGTACATAAACCCCCTCATCTCCATCCTCCCCCCATATGTGACCTGTACATAAACCCCCTCATCTCCATCCTCCCCCCATATGTGACCTGTACATAAACCCCCTCATCTCCATCCTCCCACCATATGTGACCAGTACAGTAACCCCCATTAGCGGTCATTTAATACCACCAATAGAAAGCTCCATCTGCCTGAAAACAAAATTAATTTGGACACCGTGTCACGAAACAGAGTCATTGTCAGACTATCACAGCACTGAAAACTGACCAATGGGCTAATGAAGGGGGTTTAACACGCCGGCGCTGAAGGGGTTAAGGAATTCTGCCGTGAAGTTGAAGCGCTCATGTGAGAAATGTCTGATGGAAGCAGCTGCTCCTGGCCGCCATGCTAGTTCTGGGGAAATGACATTGAGCGAGTTCCTGAGGACTGGAGATATGAAGCCAGATCTGGATGGACAGTCGCTGCCTCGCTGTACTGGTTCTTACCTGGGAACGCGGACGACATACTCCGTGACAGACTGACCGCTTCCCCCCTGCAAGACAAAGACCAAGTGAGAACACGGACCAACATGGACACAAGGAGCATATCCACCCCAGAGAAGAACGGTTCCTGAAGACACGAGTGCTACCAGTGCAGTGCGGGAGAAGGAGCAGAACAAGCATGCAGATCAGCAATGTCAGTAGCCAGTAATGTGCGTTCTTGTTGTAGGGAAAAAGTATTGAAGTCAGGGGATCAGCATGACAGTCTGCCCACCAGCATTTCCAGTGGGAGAGGTCAGCAATGGCAGACTCGGGAGCATCTCCTCTGACAGATTTCCTTTAAAGGGCAAATGGACTCAATTGCATGAAGAGAGGATCATCATGAGCCCACAGAACACAAGCGAAATGGGACCCTAAAGGCCCAACTGAACCCTCAGGCGCCCAAAACCCAAGTCATAGGATTGCATCTGCTTCTGTGGATCTTGCGCATGGTCCTTTCAACCCACCCGGCTTCCCACCAGCAGCATCGTACCAACCACAGGATACTTACCAGGGACGTCATCGTTGGAACACGAGATCACCTGACTCCGCCCCTGAAATAAAGAGAAAACAATTATAGCCATAGAGATGAATGAGGGAAGGACACAGAGAAGCAGCACAAAGGGGAGATGAGGCCGGGGTGTGGAGGGCACAAGGGTGGAGGTCTTGGGGGACATACAAGAGGGGTCAGAACATCCAACTGTGACTTAGGAGGAGAAAGAATACAAATACTCACAGCGATGACCGGACTAAAAAGACTCCACGCACTATAACACATCCAAACATATTATAACCCAACATCAAAAATGGCCAAATATTTTCCCCCCAATTTCTTTTTTAAGTTAGTCTGTTGCGGCCTTTTTACAACAATCACCATGGCGACCAATTCTAATGGCTTTGTACTGATCGGCTCCGGACATGTTGCAGTAGTTGGAGATTAGTTATTTGGGGACTTAGGAAGAGGTGGAACTGGGTGTTAATGGTGACACAAGCACTGTGAAGGGAGCTCCAAGGTGCTTTCGCCTTAGGAGCCCGCGGGGAAGATCTTGGAGTCACAGAGGGGATAACTGGGACACGCGGGGGTAATGGGCGGTCCTGGAGTCTGTGGATGGGAACGCCTGATAACACGGCCGGTCTTCCGATCACAACATTATAAATAAACAGAAGACACTAACAGTATAAGAATCCATAATGAGCCGTAACCCGCGGCAACCACCTCCAATGACTGATTGCAATGTCCTATCAGACAAGCCAGAGAGGTGAACGTCACCAGGGAGATAGAAAATAACAATGGCTGCACAGCAATGATCACTGAGGACGGGTAGGGATGATGGAGGAGGATGAGGATATCAGTGAGGACAGGCAGGGACGATGGAGGATGAGGATATCAGTGAGGACAGGCAGGGACAATGAAGGATGTTAGTGATCAGCGAGGACAGGCAGGGACGATGGAGGATGTTAGTGATCAGCGAGGACAGGCAGGGACGATGGAGGATGTTAGTGATCAGTGAGGACAGGCAGGGACGATGGAGGATGTTAGTGATCAGTAAGGACAGGCAGGGACGATGGAGGATGTCAGTGAGGACAGGCAGGGATGATGGGAGGATGCTAGTGATCAGTGAGGACAGACAGGGACAATGGAGGATGTCAGGCAAGAGGACGGACATACCGATATACACGGAGCTCCTCTCTCTCCCTCTACACGTTACAATCACGAAGCTTTCCGCTTGCAACACATTAACCAGCATCCATGAACTCTAATCCACGTTTCCGGTCTTTCAGCCACTGCTTCCGGGCAAAACCGGAAACCAGTAGAGTCGGCCATATTTACTGATGGCGTATATAGCTCATCGGCCGCCATCTTTGTTATGGGCACGAGAACGTTTCATGACATACCAAAGCCCTAATATAGTAACTATGACCAGGAATATGGAGATGTTTCAGCTCCTCATAATAACCTGAAAAATAAAGAAGCATCTTGTGTCTCCAGTATTCTCTGTGCTGAACACATAGACTAATAGAAATGTGGAAGCTGCTGCAGACTTCCTCCTCTGGAGAGGCTGTATGGCCCACATGTTGGTCCTCTGGGTTCACTTCCCTCTGATCTGCTGACTGCAATGTATGTGGAGTATTCTGATGAAGTGTTTCCCTTCCCTGGCTGCATGAGCAGATCATCCACCTCCACTGCAAACAGGACAGCTTAGTGCAGGACCCCCCCCCCCTGATTATTACCTGTCACATGATCCTCCATACTCAGGAGTGCAGGGCATTGTCCTTGCTGAAAGGAGTGACTGGCGCAGCAGTGTAGAAAAGCAAAGATGGGGGAGCAGGTAGTAGTGGGAATTTGATGATTTGGGTAATACATAGATTTTCTTTGAAGTCATGTGACCCAGACAATGAACTTCCCCCTCTTGGTCTGTTTAATACACCAGTGAATGCCATTTGTTATATCTGATGAGTGCAAAAAATACCCAATTCATCATGTCAGAAATTCAGAGGTGTCCTGCATCCTGTGCGCTCTCAGAGAGTAAGTAGCCCCCCCCCAGTTCTTACCTTGGACTACAGAGTCATCAGCCTTTATGTTGTAGAGATGAGGAGGGCCAGAGTAGATTAGCAAAAGACAACTGGAAGGGCTCAATGTCACCCTGGTGAAGGGACCCTGCGCGGCCCCGAAACGTTGGCTTCTTGATGCATGTGACATATCAATAACAGTGCTTTCCTTTCTGCACATTACAAGTGAGTGCTGGTGACTTCTATCTTTAACTGGGCAGGGCTGACACCACTCAAATTCCCCCCGCCACATTATGATGTCACACGTCCTTCTTCTTGTGGCAGTGGCATAGGAGCATTGTTTACTGCAGTAGTAGAGGAAGCTCAGGTCGCCATCATGACAGCCTGGGCTCTCTGGTAGAAAGAGAACCTGTCAGAACAGCTGTAATTAGAGTAACGGATGCAGCCACTGCGCTGGTTCTGCAGCACAGTACAGCTCTGCAGCCTCGGATACTGTCATGTGCCTGTCACTGCTTCTGTGAGCCAGGCCATGGTGCTGGATGGAAGCTTCGGCCGTGCCTGGTAATGACAACAGGGACAGGTCCTCTTTATAGCAGATGTCCAGTGTATTAGGGACCCGAGTCTGTCACTTTACAACCAACATGACAGCTTCTCATTCCTCAGTGATGTCCACAGTCCCTGATAGGCTGCAAACATGCTTCTAAGAGAACCAGTCACAAAACAAACACGTGTGTGAGAAGCCTCAGATGGAAGCTGACGTACTCAAACTCCCAGTTTGTTTTTGTGACTTGTGAAGCTGAAGAAGACACGGTCACAAAACCTGTATTCAACCAACCAGTCGGCTTCTATCTGAGGCTTCTCAAAACAGGTGTTTTGCTTCATGACAGATTCCCTTCAAAGGTGTATCGGTGACAGGTGCACTTGTAAACATTTACAGGGTTATAATACACACACACGTGTTAGACTCTGGATTATATTTATATACATTTATATACAAAGGGGACTCATAGCACTGATGTGCTTAGAATGCTTTTTGGAGAAGAAAGTGGAAGAGGAAGAGAAAGAGGAAATGATAGAGGAAGAGAAAGAGGAAATGATAGAGGAAGAGAAAGAGGAAATGATAGAGGAAGAGAAAGAGGAAATGATAGAGGAAGAGAAAGAGGAAGAGGAAATGAAACAGGAAATGATGGAGAAAGAGAAACAGGAAATGAGAGGAAACGAAAGAGGAAATTACTGTAAAAGAGGAAATGAAACAGGAAATGAGTGTGGAAGAGGAAGCAAAACAGGAAACAAAAGTGACACGGGAAACATTCAGTCACTCAGCAGCCGGAGGTTATCCTGTTGATGGAAATACATTACTGTCGCCACAATGAAAGTAAAATGTTGAAATGGAAGTTGCCGTCTACAAGAGATTAAACTGCAACTGAAGCCATCATATTTTTTTTATAGATTTCGGATGGAGTGGAGAAGGATTGGACCCCCTGTCAGGTTTGCATTGCTGTCTGTGTCCCCATTAGGGAATGTCACCCTCTCTATGTGTCCTGGTGACCGTTATCACTGAAAGTAAAAGAAGATCCCACATTTTGGGTTGTCACCAGAACAGGAATAGATGGGAAATCTTCCAATGGGGACCCTAGTTCTGCTGACCAACATGGATTTCCCTCACTTTAGAGGTATTTCCTCCCACTTCCTGTTGTGGCTATCAAACAGGAAGTAAAGGGAAATCTCCTCTGTAAGACACAGATGGCAAAAAAGCTGACAGGGGTTATAACCCCCCGTCTTTATCTATACTCTATCCAAAACTAATAAAAAAAAAAAAAAAAAGTTTGGGCTTCCGTTCTACTTTTGGCGGGAGGTATGTGCAGTGACTGCAGCTTATGACTCGGACTCAGAGCTGGAATCAGAGTAATCAGGTACAAGGCAGGAGGAAGCAGCCGGCTGTTTGGGGGGGGTGTCCTCAGGGGAGGTGTCGGTGTTACTGACAGTCTGTAGAGCGGCGCTCTTGCTCTCCGGCCGTATCAGTTCACTGCTCTCCCGCCGCTTCCCATCTGTCTCCTCTGCCGTCTCCTGTCCACTTCCAGGTGGGCTCTTCTCCTTATCGCTCCCGTCCTTCGCTTCCCTCCGTACAACAACGAGCTTTAACGCAGGCGCCACGGGGCTGGATGGAGGTTTAGGTCGGATCCGGAGATTCTTTAAGGAGTTGTTCGTTGTCTGGATCTTCCCGTCGCTTCCGCGAGAGAACCAAGGGCGGCTGGAAATCTCAGAGCGCTTCTTCTGCTGACGCTCATCATATGCTGTGAGGTGAAGGAATATTACAATGAGTAACCAATAACCTCCATCTTATATCTGGCCACACCAACCACTTCAATACAGCAACACAGGAGGCTTTCGACTTAGAGGCCATCAGCCTCCAACCTACTTCAGTCAGTGCGCCTCACACTCAGGATCACCTTCTTTCCCAGGCATAGCGGCCCGGGATTGACAGCTCTAAACCAGGAAGTGCTCAGAGCTGAGCGCTTCCATGTTTATATTCCTCCGTGGAGATCAGCAAATGGATGTTTACTGATCTGCTGCTACACTCCCTCCTGATACATGCCATGGGGGTCCCAGGCAGCCAGGAGGCACAGGTGAGCCCACCTTACAAGGCGGGGGAGGGGAGGCAGCACCTTCCTTAGCACGTAGAAGTAATCAGACGGCTTCACAATCACCCAAATCACTTCTACAAGAATGTTGGCAGGCGGGAGAAAAAAAAAAAATTGTACGCAAACTCCCGGCTACTAGAGTCCTCCAATGATCAGGTTGTTGATCAGTCCCACAGAACGATCAGATTGGGTGGTATATGAATGCCCCTCCCCCTTTGCTTACACTCCAGGCTGTGGTACTTTAGTAATGATGCAATCCTCTTATCCTCCTCCGTCTCTGGAAGGAGCTTCAGATCTAAGGACGTCTTCTTCAGGAGCGCCTGATCCTTCTGTTCCTCCTCTCGGATCTGCTTTTTCTCCTCCTGTGTCGGGAAAAGTATAAACTCAAGATAAAGAAAGGAAGGCAGACACAATCCTAGGACGGGGTCCGAGTTCAATCCCTGTGAAGGTCACATGATCATCATTCTTTATTTCTGCTATTATAACAAGCCTCAGAGCAGCCAAAAGCTGAAATCAGTCTTGCAGTAGGAGGTGCTCTGTAGGCTGGTCGGTCACAAGTGGAATACATTATAAGATTTACAGAACACAAAGAGGCTGCGTCACCGGTATGGAGGAGGCAGGTCGGAGGCACAGAGTCTACAGTAGTGGTTGTCAACTTACAATGTGAAAGGGACCTCCACTGCAGTCCCTGACAGCTCCGAAGGTCCACACATAATATTCAGTATATGACAGAAGACGATCAGCGACTGCAGACATACTAGAGGACGTGATCGGGGACTGCAGACATACAAGAGGACACGATCGGGGACTGCAGCCATACTAGAGGACAGGATCGGGGACTGCAGACATACTAGAGGACACGATCGGGGACTGCAGACATACTAGAGGACACGATCGGGGACTGCAGACATACTAGAGGACACGATCGGGGACTGCAGACATACTAGAGGACACGATCGGGGACTGCAGACATACTAGAGGACACGATCGGGGACTGCAGACATACTAGAGGACACGATCGGGGACTGCAGACATACTAGAGGACACGATCGGGGACTGCAGACATACTAGAGGACACGATCGGGGACTGCAGACATACTAGAGGACACGATCGGGGACTGCAGACATACTAGAGGACACGATCGGGGACTGCAGACATACTAGAGGACACGATCGGGGACTGCAGACATACTAGAGGACACGATCGGGGACTGCAGACATACTAGAGGACACGATCGGGGACTGCAGACATACTAGAGGACACGATCGGGGACTGCAGACATACTAGAGGACACGATCGGGGACTGCAGACATACTAGAGGACACGATCGGGGACTGCAGACATACTAGAGGACACGATCGGGGACTGCAGACATACTAGAGGACACGATCGGGGACTGCAGACATACTAGAGGACACGATCGGGGACTGCAGACATACTAGAGGACACGATCGGGGACTGCAGACATACTAGAGGACACGATCGGGGACTGCAGACATACTAGAGGACACGATCGGGGACTGCAGACATACTAGAGGACACGATCGGGGACTGCAGACATACTAGAGGACACGATCGGGGACTGCAGACATACTAGAGGACACGATCGGGGACTGCAGACATACTAGAGGACACGATCGGGGACTGCAGACATACTAGAGGACACGATCGGGGACTGCAGACATACTAGAGGACACGATCGGGGACTGCAGACATACTAGAGGACACGATCGGGGACTGCAGACATACTAGAGGACACGATCGGGGACTGCAGACATACTAGAGGACACGATCGGGGACTGCAGACATACTAGAGGACACGATCGGGGACTGCAGACATACTAGAGGACACGATCGGGGACTGCAGACATACTAGAGGACACGATCGGGGACTGCAGACATACTAGAGGACACGATCGGGGACTGCAGACATACTAGAGGACACGATCGGGGACTGCAGACATACTAGAGGACACGATCGGGGACTGCAGACATACTAGAGGACACGATCGGGGACTGCAGACATACTAGAGGACACGATCGGGGACTGCAGACATACTAGAGGACACGATCGGGGACTGCAGACATACTAGAGGACACGATCGGGGACTGCAGACATACTAGAGGACACGATCGGGGACTGCAGACATACTAGAGGACACGATCGGGGACTGCAGACATACTAGAGGACACGATCGGGGACTGCAGACATACTAGAGGACATGATCGGGGCCTGCAGCCATACTAGAGGACAGGATCGGGGACCGCAGACATGCTAGAGGATAGGATCGGGGACCGCAGCCATACTAGAGGACAGGATCGGGGACCGCAGACATACTAGAGGACAGGATCGGGGACCGCAGACATACTAGGGAGGACAGGATCGGGGACTGCAGCCATACTAGAGGACGTGATCGGGGACTGCAGACATACTAGACATACTAGAGGACTTGATCGGGGACCGCAGACATACTAGAGGACAGGATCGGGGACTGCAGCCATACTAGAGGACAGGATCAGGGACTGCAGCCATACTAGAGGACATGATCGGGGACCGCAGACATACTAGAGGACAGGATCGGGGACTGCAGACATACTAGGAGGACAGGATCAGGGACTGCAGGACATGCTAGAGGACAGGATCGGGGACCGCAGACATACTAGGAGGACAGGATCAGGGACTGCAGACATGCTAGAGGACAGGATCGGGGACCGCAGACATACTAGAGGACATGATCGGGGACTGCAGCCATACTAGAGGACAGGATCGGGGACTGCAGACATACTAGAGGACAGGATCGGGGACTGCAGACATGTACAATGGGTGGTGGGATACTGATGACACACTACAGGGGTTAGTCAAAGACTGGGGACATGCTACACGAGACTACCAGAGGTCAATGTCATTATACTCTCTTTACAAACCAATGCTCCTACCACTGAGTGCTGGGGTCCCAGGGGCCACAAGTTGGGCCCCAGAGGTCTACGGAATGGATGGACATTTTTATGTAGATACTTGAGAGGTAAAGCAGGTGAGCTGATCGAGAAAAAACTGCAAGCATGGCTGGTGAAAGGGGCTGCTAACTTCCTGTACATACACCCACATGTGGTGCTGAGCCTCCATGACTGACAGAAATGAAATCCAATGAATGAAAGGGGCGGGCCGGGGACAGTCAGGGCTAGATGATGCTGGACGTCCTCCAGCCAGGAAATGAGGCTGGCACTATCGCAGTGTGCAGTGAAATCAGAGGAAGCCATTTCAGTCCAGGAGAGGAGCCGGTGTTCTATCAAAGATTGTGACTGGGTTGAAATGTGTGACCAGTCACGTGGTCACACATTTTAACGTAATCACTCCCACTTTTTGGGCGGTGAAATATGTGACCAGCAAAATGTGAAGAATTCTAATTCTTTCTCAGCTGTTCCCGGGCAGATCGGCATGGCAGATGGTATGTGCAGGAGAGCCGATCTGCCCGGGAACAGCTGAAATGTCACTTCTATCCGACTTTGTGGAATGTGAGATCGCAGTCACAGAGTCGGATAGAAGTGACATTTCAGGACCGATCAGCTGTTCCGGGACAGATCGGGAAAGGCAAAACAACGGCACACAAGGAGACTCACTCTAAACTTGCTGCGCAGAAGGCTGTTGAGGGCAAAGTCATCCTTCCAGGCGCCCTGTACTTCCTGCAGTTCGGACAGTGTGGGTATGGCCTTCTGCAGCTTCTCTTTATCGGCAGCGCCGTGTTCCAGCCGGTACATAGAGTCCGTCTCCAGTTTCTGCTTCTGTTCATGTTCTGTAAAAGGAAAGGCAATAAGACGATGGAGGGCGATACAAAGGGGGGGGGGTGTCAGCCTTCGTGGAGGCCCCGCACCTCTGCCCATGGCACTGACCTGTTGTAAGGATTTGCTCGTTCTCACTCATGTCCCATCGCTCCTCCTTCCTCTGCGCTCCGCTCACAATGACATAATCACAAGAAGCCGGATCCGTCTGCATCTCAATGTAATTCACACACAAGTGACACTTCATCCTAAACCTGAGAAATAAATAAAGGGGGCACACAGCCATTAGTCCGCAGGAAGGGACCGCACCTAGCGCGAGAGACCGCACCTAGCGCGAGAGACCGAATGTAACGCGAGAGACCGCACCTAGCGCGAGAGACCGAATGTAACGCGAGAGACCGCCCCTAGCGCGAGAGACCGCACCTAGCGCCTGTAACAATGAACACAAAAAATATCACCGGCCCAAAACAACCAAATTCCAGCTGTCACGTCTCTAGCGCAGAATGCATGCTAAAACAGGGGAAGACAACCTCGGCGCTCCAGCTGTGGTGACACTACAAGTCCCATCATGCTTCTGCCTCTGGGAGTCATGCCTGTGGCTGTCCGCGTCTTGCAATGCCTCATGGGGCTTGTAGTACCACCACAGCTGGAGCGCCGGAGTTTGCCCACCCCAGCTCTAAAGTAAAGCTGTGTTTAGGAAATATAGATATATCCCAGGGGTAGGCAACCCCGGCCCGCCAGCTGTTGTGGAACTACAAGTCCCATGATGCACTGCAAGACTGACAGCCACGACTTGCAGAGGCGGGTGCATTAAGGGATTTGTAGTTTCCCCACAGCTGGCTTGTGTACGGAGCCAGAGGCTATGGCAGAAAGCTGGTTACAACTGAAATCTTTAAAGAGACATAATAAGTCAGCAGTGTGTCCTTTAATGTATTAGTTAGTATTTAAAGCAGGGGTGGGCAACTCCAGCTGTTGTGGAACTACAAGTCCCATGAGGCATTGCAAGACTGACAGTTACAGGCATGACTCCCAGAGGCTGAGGCATGTTGGGATTTGTAGTTAAAGCACAGCTGGAGAGTTGCCCACCTCTGCTCTACAGGGAATGCACAGATTAAATATAAGCCGTTACCTGTATATGGGGGTTGTGTAGTAGTTGCCCACTTTCTTCTTCTCTGCATTGTATCGCACACCTGAGACACACGGAACACAGAACAGTCAGGAAGAAATAGAGAATGACAGAGCCATAGAGGAGGGGGAGAGACGAGCACATACCCATTCCTATGTGATTCTTGCAGCCGTCACACCAGATGTTATAAGGCATTTCAAACCTGACAAGATGAGAGGTAAACATGGGTCAGACAAATCAAAACACCTTACCGGGGCCCTTAGAGTGAGAGGTCCCCCCGAGGCCTGACAACTGCTGGTCTGCCAAGTGCCAAATCTCATGCTGATACCACACGTTGTCATCTGAGTGGGACAAATACGCACCAAACACATTCAAATCTGATCGGACAATGCCTCTTCCATTGACCAAAAACTCTGTAGTCCATGGATAGGCAACATCAACATTCCAGCTGTTGAGGAACTACAAGTCCCATGTGGCATTGCAAGACTGACAGTCACAGACATGACTCCCAGAGGCAGAAGCATGATGGGACTTGTAGTTTTACCACAGCAGAGATTGTACAATCAGATTATGACATAACAGTAACACGTAGCAGAGCCCTGAGGGTGAGAGAAGTCTTATCAAGCTGAGCTCTGCATAGGGATGCACCAAAATTTCGGCTGAAATAGCTGTGCATCCCGGCTTTCTCTCCTCCCTGCCGGGCGCTGCTCTGTGTCCCAGCGGGGAGGAGAGAAACTGTCACAGGCGGCCGAGCTATGCGGGAGGAGACCGCTGTGAGCGGCCGGCGTCTCCTCCCCGCACTGCTCAGCCTCCTGTGACAGACTAGGAATGCGGTGTGGGGGCAGAGACAGCTGTCACAGGAGGCGGAGCTTGCCTCTCCGCACTGCTCGCTTAGCCTGTGACAGCCGATCCAAGATGGAAAGCGGGTACAGGCCGTCAGTGATCAGTGATTGTAAATAATTGAGGACAGAGTATGGTTACTGTATCCTTAATTATGAATGTATCTGATCTACATCACCTCCTGTTCATTCATAGTTGTAGTTATAGTAAACATACTCTGTCCTCATGTTATGAATGACCAGGAACACTCAGAGGATTCCTGTTCATTGATAACAGGGGACACAGAAAAAGAGATTGAGGGCTCAGTGTTCGCTGGGGGCTCAGCGTTCTCTGGGGGCTCAGCGTTCTCTGGGGGCTCAGCGTTCGCTGGGGGCTCAGCGTTCGCTGGGGGCTCAGCGTTCGCTGGGGGCTCAGCGTTCGCTGGGGGCTCAGCGTTCTCTGAGGGCTCAGCGTTCTCTGGGGGCTCAGTGTTCGCTGGGGGCTCAGTGTTCTCTGAGGGCTCTGTGTTCTCAATCTCTTCTATTTTAAAAGGGAAATATCAGGGGTCTGTTTAGATCCCCAATATTTCCCAGAAGCTCCTAACAGTAAAAAATAAAAATAAAAGATTTTACAAAATTTGAAAAGGTTATAAAGAAAAAACATTTGCGGTTTCCGCCAGACATTTTTTCTGTTAATTTCGGTGGAACTCTAGTTCTGTATCCGGTGATGTTGTGGTTACTCAGAAGCGGAAGGACGACCGCGTTATCAGCATGGGTTCAGACATATAGACAGGGCAGCAACTATGAGCCTCTCACCTCCTTGATCCAAGTTATCCCCGTATTCTATATAAGGGAGCACACATATATCACTCACAGGTAAGCCTGCAGAATAACAACAATTTAGGTTTATAGTTCAGACTGATCCGCTTTGAAGCTGATGTGTAACGTATGCATAGAATACCTTCCCTCGCAAAGTCTCTTCTGCCCCCCAAAAAGCTCTCCCTCTTTCTTTCCCCGGTTTTTGTGTACACCGTACAGCACGTGCACCGTATAGAGTACACAATATATCTCAAAGATGCCGTGAATGGGCCTGATGTTGGGGAGGATGTAAGTTCTGTGCGCATGCACAGGAGTTGCATCATCAGTGGCCACCCAATGACCGAAGAGAATTCCTACAGGAGGGGACCGAGGACTCCTCGCGCAGCACTGGGAAAGGGCGCACTTGAAAGGAAAGTTACCATAATGTGCACGTACGTGCAGTTATGGCAACAATCGCACACACAGGACACAGCAGTTTACAACATGCAGCCCTGCTGGAATATCTGATCTAACTGGTTTAGAGCTGCAACAACGATTCGATTTAGTCGATTAAAATCGACGATTGAAAACGTTACCAACGTTTTCGATCGTCGATTATTCGGCTATCTATTACCTTGCCTGTTCGCGGCTCCACACTCAAGCCCCGCACGCAGCACACGCCACGCCCACCGAACGCGCACGCCGCGGCGGCCCAGCTCCCGGCTCTCCTCCAATCCCGCCGCTCCTCACATCTAGCCGGGCTGATCACATGACGGGTGCCGGGGATGTGAGCACGACGGCTGTCAGCCGGGGGACGCAGACTATGGCTGGGGATGAGCTGGCATCCAGGCTAAACCTTTCAGCAGAAGACATGGAGGGAATGTTCGGACAGTAAGTGCCCGACCTCCCCAGAGCCTGGGACCCAACACTGTGCACCCCAACCCACCATCATACCCATCCTCTGCACCCCAACCCACCATACAATACAAACCAGTAGTCCCATCACTGGAGCCTTTTTTTTTTTTTAAATCCAATTAATCGAACGTAATAATCGGCTAACTAATCGATTATGAAAATAATCGTTAGCTGCAGCCCTAAACTGGTTACAGCAACCCATCACTCTGCACCAATAGGAATAAGCCCAGAATGTTCCCTATGACACCCGAAAAATGAAAACAAAACTGTGCAGTCTCTTACCTGATGATAAGGATGCCCTGAGACAGCTTCCGGGCCCGTTCCCGCAGGGGGTGACTGTTCCGATAGCGATTGAGGGAGCCATGCTGAGAGCAAATAGAAAGGAAGAGATATCGATTATCTGAGACTTGTAGGAACCTTTATATATTCTGAGTCGGTTCTATACCAAATAAAGTGACCCGTCCACCCAGACCTGTACTACGATACCGTGCTCAGTATACCTCACTGGGCAATAGGAACGGGCAGCAGGTAGGAAGGAAGAGCTTTGCCTTTCAAAACGGCTGGAGATTCGGCCACAGGAAGAAGGATTTGGAGGGTGCAGCAGGTATAGGCGGCTCCAGGTGTCTGAACTTCACAGATGCAGCAGTTTCCACCCGCCCACCAGTGTCTCTAAGACTAGCCATGGGCACAAAAGAACTTTACATCAATGTGATCAGTTTGAATAAATGTGCATATTTAAAGAAGTATTGGGAGCAAAATGTCCTCTTCCCAATAGTTTGAGCTGGCGTGTGACACTGCAGCTGACACACGTTGGCTCTAGAGATCGAGAGCTGAGCAATCACAAACCGCTGTTTGCTCAGCTGATGGCTTCTCCATGCAGAGAGTGGTGACTGTCAGTCAACGCTCCCTGCAGGGATCCCCCTCCAGCACTTATTGAAGGGACAGACAGGTAAGGGGGCGGGTACAGCTGGTCCTGGCTCTAGAGAAGCAGAACCAGCTGTCAATGAGGCAGCGGGTTGGATGCCAACAATATTGTCGGCCTCTTTCGCGGATGCAGTGCGGCTCTATGCTGTCACCACATATGTGAATTGCCATGAGGAGAGGGAGGCGGAGAGGTGACCTTGGCGCCAAGCTCTATGGGACCTGCAGTGCCTACATCCAAGCAAGCACGGAAGCCGAGTGGGAGCTGTACTTCCTCCCCAACATGTGAAAGAACCGTTGTGACAGCTGGAGAATGAAGCCGGCATGACGGAGGTTTCTTTTCTGCCAACGTAACGTATAACTGCTGTGACACTGCTGACTTCCTCGTCCGGCTTACGACTGGTCAACCAGGGGCTGTCTGCAGAGGTCAAAGGCTGCCGATAGATTTATAATAACTTCCTGACCCGAATGGTATCAGATCAGATCATCTTGTGTCTATGGGCAGCCCGGCAGTAGGTGAGAGTCAGACATTGTGGGACACATAACACTATGAGGCTTTATTGACATGTAAACAAACATCAGGTGTTGTGTCAAACGTAAGTCGTACAGTCTGAGGTCATACTTACTTTGGCGGGATCAAAATCTGGAGGGTAATACTTGTTGGTTCCTTTTCTCTCCCCCTAAAAAAGGACGACAAAAAACAGTTTGCGTTTATTATCGGTACGCAGTAGAAGAAATACAAATCCCAGCAAGTTGAGGCTCTACGAGGCCCTACTAGAGAATTGGTGCCCCTTACAGCCCAATCACGCCTTCTGCTTGGCCCACCCTCAGTCTAAGGATTTCCATTCATTGGAGGTCCCGGTCTTTTCTAGAACTACGTCTGCGGACTCTTCCTTTAATCGTCTTACAGATTGGTGACTACAAATTAGTCTGTCACTGTGCCTCACCCTCAGAACAAGGTGAGAGCCCACCCTGTGACCCCCTTATAGTCACCATCGCTGCGCTCCCCCGCGGCTTTTTTACTTGTGTTTCGCTCTAAACATTTCCGCTTTTTGGAAAACCTCAACCAAGCGTCCCTCCCTGCCGTGCTTCCTCGACTTCTGGTTAGTGTGATCTAATGCATCCCCTGCATTCCGCCTGCAACGGAACTCCTGAACTCCCTGCACGCTCCCCATAATGCTTATGAGCCCTACAAGCACAGCACCTGATCACAATTCCTTGCCTGCTGCCCCTAATGCTCATGCCTCTCCTGAGTACAACATCTGATCATGACTTCTTATGCTCTTCCCAAATTGCACATGCCTCCCCCAAATGCAGCACCTGATCATGACTCCTTGCTTGCTGCCCAGAATGCACATGCGTCCCCCAAGACACCTGATCACAACTCCTCCCGCGATACCCCATAACGCGCATGCGCCTCTCCAAGCACAGCAACTGATCATGACTCAATGCACACTGCCTGTAATGCTCATGCATCCCCCAAGCATAGAGGTGGGAAAACTCCAGGTGTGGTGCAACTACAAGTCCCATGAGGCATTGCAAGTCTGACAGCAACAGGCATGACTCCCAGAGCATGATGGGATCTGTAGATTCCCCACAGCTAGAGGGGCTGATTTTGCTTACGGCTACCGCTGCCCAAGCGGAATATGAAGATGCAGTCCTGGCCTGGAGAGTGCACATCAGGGTGGCTACGCCTGGCCTCCATGAAAACCCTACAACACAATGTAGCCACCCTACAGGCTGCCATTAAACACAGAAAACATTCTCAGGTTCATTATAAAGCAAGGAGAGCTCACAGGGAGGGTACCCCACCCCCAATCATGACTGCTCGTACACTATGCTGCTGACTTCTTCAATTCATGGAGACAGGTTCGCTTTATGCCCCCAGCACCCTGTGACTGTGACACCAGAAGTCAGTACAATGCACTCACCATTCCGCCTCAGTCCTCCTACAGCTCCCTCTATGGCCTTCTCACTCCTCCACACCACCAGTGTTGCTGTCTGAACGTCACATAGAGGCCTATCCAAGTTTACTTCCGGGTGGTCAGTGTCCCGGAGCGTAGCCTGTCTGTGTAAGTCAATGACGCTTGGTCTCCGAAAACATGGCCGCCGACGGGATCCAGAGGCGGAGCTAGAGACGCGTGCATGCGTGTTCAAGGGTATCAGCTGATAACGGTGGCCTGACAAGGGACATAAATAATTTCATATGCTGCTTTGCCTTACAGTATTGCTGCATGTGTTTTATTTCTATATAGTATCTGATTTTGGATATCATTTTAGCTTTAATTAAATAGAAGAAGGTTCTGACGCTGTTTGTGCTGGGGTTAATCATTTTTTTGCCACGGTACAAGGCATTACATCCCTGAGAGCATACATTTAACAGGAAATAAGATTTGCCCCCATCCCCCATACTACTAAGAGTGTAATTCCAACAGGAAGTGAGATTTGCCCCTTTTTCCTCATCCCCCCATACTACTAAGAGTGTAATTCCAACATGAAGTGAGATTTGCCCCTTTTTCCTCATCCCCCATACTACTAAGAGTGTAATTCCAACATGAAGTGAGATTTGCCCCTTTTTCCTCATCCGCCATGTTGCAACACAATCATTAATCGTGTGACCATTTACTACACCACAGAAGAGGTCTTATTTACCTCCACTTTCCTTATCACCAATATGGTGGGACTTCTTTATATGTTTGTTCCAACAATACATACACACTGACGGAAATGTGCTGCCAGAGCTCAGTCTAATTCGGCTCTAATACTTTGTGAACTACAGACATGGAGGAAGTCCACAGATCAGAGGTGCTGAGGTGTCACTGAAGTTATGGCTGGACCTATGAAAGAAAATTAACTATCACTCTTCAGTAACTGCATACATACCTAACCGTGATTTCACCAGCCCTCGTCCAATCAGAGAAGGCCTTTAACCCATTGATATAAATACTATCAGGGTTATTCACAAAAGGGAAAAGAGTTTGGAGAAGGCCGGAGAAGTGAACAATCTAGGACAACATTGCTGAACTGGAAAGTGAGATGAATTGGAGGATTTTTGCAGTTCAGCTTTGTTGTCCTAGATGGTTCACTTCTCCAAACTCTTCACCCTTCTCAAAGGTCTCTACAATAAGGCCGCTCAGAGTGAAACACATCAGTGGTGGGGCGGCCATTGGAAGGGGACAAGATCATGTTGGCTGCTGGATTGCAATAAAGATTTAAAGGTGACGTCAGCGGCGTGTGGCTTTACTGATAAAACATGTTATCTTCAATCAGGCCAGGCTGGACCAATATATTTATTATTATACAGGATTTATATGGCGCCAACACTTTGCGCAGCGCTTTACAATAAAAGGAAGACATTACAATCACAATACAATTCAAGACAAGATGGTAAGGAGGGTCCTGCCCCTGAGGGCTTTCGATATTTATATCTGGAGGTTCAGCTTTCAGCTCTTCATGTCTTTGGACTTTCTTTTTGAGAAAATTGACAGCAAGGGCGGCCTATGTGTTGCTCTTAATGGCCTCTTACGTAAAGCCGGGTTAATACTACATGTCCATCTATGACTTCCCTGAGAAGGTGACATAGATGATGCCGTCAGCCTATAGCACTACCTCAGAAGTTTTTGTTTTTCCGAGTCCCCCCGTAAAAGTTTTACCTGTTGATTCAGCCAGTAGATCCATTATATTTCCTCTTCCTGTAATAGGGTGACAACGCTGTTCGTCCTGAAGTGAAATCATATGCAGGATGGATTTACCTAGAAATCGGTTTGCATGCCTTTCGGTGTTCCATAAAGACTTTTATCTACAAGCTCTCTTTGATTCACGTGCATCATACCACTTAAAATCATGACATGCATGTGTATGCGTTTACACACATCTGATAAATACAGTTTTTCTTTAGAGTCTTTATATTATTATTATGTAGAACAATGTTTGGTGGGTAGACCTGTGCAGCCCCATGACACCCAATGTCATCGAACCCCTTCCTTTACGTCTAGGCTGTCATGGACACACCCCCTGTGCTGATGTCATCACACAGCCTGAGCTCATAGGTGCTCACACATCACAACTTAAAACCTTTGTTTTAGTTGTGGATTGAGTGGAGAGGAATTAGACCCCACCCCCGGCCGGTTTTGATTGCTGTGTGTCACTGTTGGGGAGATTCACCCTCTCTATCTATCCTGGTGACCATCATCACTGAAAGTGAAAGAAAATCCCAAATTATGGGTTATCACCATAACAAGGAATAGATGGCAAATCTTCTAATGAGAACACTAGTTTTTGTGACCCTGCTGACCACGAGGGATTTCCCTTACTTTGGAGGGATTTCTTCTCACTTCCTGTTGTGTCTATCAGTTTGGAAGCGAACGGATATTTCCCCTCACTTTCTGTTGGGACTATTGGACAGGAAGTGAAGGGATATTTCCCCTTAGGGCTTGTTCACACCAAGCGCGGAGCAGATCCGGACCAGAGCAGGTGCAGACCGGATCAAAACTGCATCCAATGTATTCCTATGGTATTTTGACCTCCAGTTCACATCGCAGCGTGCGGATCCAGACCGGATGAAAAAACTGCGGCAAGCCCCATTTTACCTGCTCTGGATCTGGTCTGGAACGCATTAAAAAAACGCATCTAAAACGCATGCAAGTGCCTAAAAGCCCATGTTAAACTTTATAAAAAAAACAAAACATTTTTTTTTACCAAAACCGGCCCTAAACGCATCAAAAACGCGTCTAAAACGCGGCACAACTCACTGCACTGCATGTGCAGAAACCTGACCGGATCTGGTCTGCATTTGGTGTGAACAAGGCCTAAGGTGTGAACAAGGTCTGGATCCGCACGCCGCAATGTGAACTGGAGGTCAAAATACCATAGGAATACATTGGACGCAGTTTTGATCCGGTCTGCACCTGCTCTGGTCCGGATCTGCTCCGCACTTGGTGTGAACAAGGCCTTATGGGACACAGATGGCCAAAAGAAAATGCCGACGTGTTATAACCTCCGTACTCTATCCAAAACTAACAAAAATCATCTTTGCTTTCTGCAACCAATACCAAGCAGATAGAGAATCTCCCCGGTCAACAGACACTTGATTCACAGAGGCCCTTTGCATACTTCTCAGAATAGGCGCGCCAGAGTCCTTTTCATAGACACAAGATCAATCATTTCCATAGCCATACAGCATGAATTTTGTTGGTATAGAGTGCCTCACGGACTGCCCCCAGATACCACCAAAGGGTGATCAGTATCAGCAAAGCTGCAGAAGACGGTCTGTGGGCATACCAGAGGAGATGGTCATTACAGCTATGGGATTACAGCTATGCTACAGGCGTGGTTGGAGACTGAAGATATGCTACAGGACACAGACAGGGACCGGGTACAGGTTACTGGACAAGAGATTACTGCCATCGCAGTCCTTTTACAAATCAGTGCTGGGGTCCGAGGGCCACACAACAAGTACCAAAGGGCTTTTGGGCCAAAGGTTGGACTTCAGGTTCCTACGGGCTGTCACACATTACGACACAAGACTGGGTTGTTGATCTGAAAATAGTCATTTATTTAAAAAAAAAAAGTTTTTACAAATATTCCTCAGACGATAAAATGTTTCTTCTCTGGTTCCAGCACTTCACGCCAAGTCCGACTCATACCCCTGGCGACCATTATCCAGTGACGCTGAGGAACCTGGCGTGAAATGACCGGTTGCGACTATTCATGCAGGTAGTGTTTATGGGTGGAGGTAGGGGGGCGCCATTCCAGAAGTGGAGTATACTAAGGCTCCGCTACAAAGTATTAATGGAATGGCAGGATAGGTGTGGGGGAGGGGTGCAGGACATTTGGCTCAATGTTACTATGCGCATACCACGGTAATAAAAGTATTCCGTGTCCAGCAGGGGGCATAACTGTACACCGCTGAGAGACAAGCCGGGTTGGTGCTACCTTCCCTTTAAGCCAACCCATCTAAGAGTAATGTAAGGTTTGACAAGATCCCCATTTGAATGGAACATTCCAAGGTCAGAGCTACTCCAGAAAAGCTCCCCGCACAAAATGGAACATTCCAGTCAGGTGTGCTTCAACCAGTCAGGTGCACATGGTGCGGACCGGAGAGAAGCAATTGGCTGTAATATATTGGGTTGTTGCGTAAGGCGTGGCTGTGCCTGGCAAGGGCAGGTCACCACTTCTTCTTGTGTTCATCCATGGACACTCCGCCGGGCCCTAGCGCCACGACCAGCAGCAGCCCACCCGTTACCGAGAGGGTCTGGAAGAAGTCGTACTTCAGGAAGTCGTGGAGTGGGCGGTAAGATGGCACCGTCCAGAAGGCATTCTGGAGGATGTTGATGACCATGAGCCAAAGGACCAGGGTCAAGGCTGCCAACTTGGTCTTAAAGCCAATTGCAACCAAGATGATCAGACTCAGGCCGAAGAAGTTCTGGAAGATCTGAGAGGAACAAAGGAAAAAGGAGGTTAGAAAAATTCTACACCCACAATCTGTAGACTAACGTTCCCTGCCCGATGCCCAATCATTGTGTCAGAGACCCATTCATTGCTCCTCTACTGCACACAACTATGGCACTTGGAGAAGGCCTTAGGACAACCTTGTGATCATGTCACCCCCAGTCCTTTATCTGCGTCCCTTTCACCACTATAAGTGTATGTATAAAGTCACTCGCACTCCAATAGAATTGTAAGTCAAAAACGGTTTATTGACTCGATTGCCATCACATCATAAGGCCAATATTTGCTATATCATGTGATACCGTTTTTGACTTGAAATTCTATTGGAGTGCGAGTGACTTCATACAGACACTTATCTTGGATTGCCGAGGCATCTGCAGTCACTTTGGCACCCACCCGACTCTAAGGGTACTATTCGGTCAGGAGTGCGATGGGTACATTGGATTTTGGCCTTTCACCGCTATGACTCACTTCAAATGCGCTGGCGTTGTAGCGGAGCAAAGTCATGAACATTAGGATGAGTAGGACGCGACCTCCAAGCTGCATATACTGACGTGGCGACCTTTCCCCTGCGCTTGGTACCCCGGCAAACATGGACTTCCCTTCAGAGCGGGACTCCGCCAGTAACAGAAGGAGACCACCGCCCAGCGCCATGTTCCTAGAAGAGAGGAAACAGAAAACACGTTACGCCGCGAGTGATAAGGAAAATAATGATACTGAAATCAAGAAATTCATATCGCAAATTGGAGCGATCCTTCAAGTAGTCCTTTATAATGGTCAGTCAGTCCCATTCATAATCTCATACTAGAAACAGGAAAGGAAGAATCTGATTGGTCACTATAAAGGACACGCCCAGAGTCTTCCATTCCTGTTTCTAGTATGAAAATATGAACAAGAGACTGATTGGTTACTATGAAGGATGCATCCAAACAGATTCTTTCTTTTCTGATTTTAGGATGAAAGAGTGAATGACAGACTCTGATTGGATGTATACGTCATAGCGACCAGAGTCTGTCAGTCACTCTTTCATCCTAAAATCAGAAAAGAAAGAATCTGATTGGTTACTATGAAGGATGCATCCAATCAGTCTTTTGTTCATATTTTCATACTAGAAACCAGTCAGATTCTCCTTAACCGTTTCTAGTATGGAAGGCTCTCTGATTGGTCACTATAAAGAGCGCATCCAATTAGATTCTTCCTTTCTGGTGTGTAATCTGAAAGTGTAATGAAGGGTTTCCAATTGGTTACCATATAGATACATTCAATCAGAGAGTCTTCAGTTCACATTTTCATACTACATACCAGAAAGAAAGAATCTGATTGGCTGTGTTGTTTATAGTAGTTGTGACCAAAGTCTTTTCGATCACATTTTCATAGCGGAATGGAAGGCTCTCTGATTGGTCACTATAAAGAGCGCATCCAATTAGATTCTTCCTTTGCGGTTTGTAATCTGAAAGTGTAAATGGAAGAGTCTTCCATTGGTTACCGTGTAGATACAGTCAGAGAGTCTTCCATAATGGAAAGAGCAAAGGAAGAATCTGACTGGATGTGTCACTTCATAGCGGCCAATCAGAGAGTCTCAGTCACAAATTTGTACTAAAAACAAGAAAGGAATAATCCGATTGGTTAATATGAAGCACACATCCAATCAGGATTCTTCCTTTCCTGTTTCTAGCGCTGCTTCTCCTTTTACTGATCAATCATGGGCAGGGGCGGGTCCAGGAAAACCTGGGCTCGGAGGAAGTGGGTTAAATGACGCTGGCCATCAAGCTGAGGACATCTAGAGGCAAAGAACAAACCAGTAGCAACCACTGGACTGAAGTTGAATATTGCAGCAACGGCCAGATTGGTTGTTTTATCTTTTACTGGGCTATTCATTTTATTTGGTTATTTTTTAGCGGAGAGTTTGGATTAAATAATAACAGTTCTGTATTGTTCTAGAACCGCCAGGTTCAAACTTCCATTCTCCCAACGGCCAGTTCTCATTTCTTAAAGGGGAACATTACCCACCAATTCAACATCTCCCAAAAACAGTGACTTTCAAGGCATGGCAGCCGTCAAGGTTGTCAGTGTTCTTATTTCAGCCCCCAACCGAACTTTCAAGCCCTCAAATGACAACTGCAATGCCAATAGAGGCCAAGACGGCACCTTCATTGGCGGTAAACCAGGGGTGGGCAACTCCGGCCCTACAGCTGTAGTGGAACTACAAGTCCCATGAGGCATTGCAAGACTGACCGTCACTGGCATGACCCCCAGAGACAGAGGCATGTTGGGATTTGTAGATGAAGCACGGCTGGAGGGCCGGAGTTGCCCACCCTGGGTGGAAAGGATAGGAGGGTGCAGTTCTGCTTCAAACCAAACACAGATAAGTGAGGATCATTGTGCTGGACCAGCAATCACTTCCAGGCTCTCATTCAATTTGTAGCTGCCTCTCATTAAATGACAGCTGGAATGTGATTGGCTGTGATGGAAGCACAGGCACGTTCCTTTCTGAGCCCCCCGCAGAGCAGTTAGTGGGAGAGGGACGCAGTAAGAGAGACGGGAAAATCAGAACAGATATCAACACTGACCTCATGAGGAACTTCAGATCCCACAGGATGTTGTAGACGATGGTCTGCAAACAGCAAATTAATACAAAATTACATTGTGATCAGTCACACAGCATTTATAATAAAGCCCAACAGTGTGCTCCCTACAACACATAGAAACCCCAATGGTGTGCTCCCTACAACACATAGAAAACCCAACAGTGTGCTCCCAACAATACATAGAAAACCCAACAGTGTGCTCCTGACAACATATGACAATTGTGCAACAGTGTGCTCCCGAAATAGTAAAGTGCTTAGTATAGCCCGGATCCTTCCTGGCTGCAGGTCTCCTCTGGGTCACAGGAGTAGAGCTGCAGCTAACGATTATTTTCAAAATCGATTAGACGATTATTAAGTTCGATTAATCTGATTTTTTTTTTAAATGGCTCCAGTGATGGGACTACTAGTTTGTATTGCGATTGTAGTCCATCACAGGAGGAAGCTTGGAGCGGCGGAAATAAGAAAATAAAAAAAACTGCGGTGTGTAATACAGTGAAATGAAAAGTGTAAAATTACACAGAAATGAATGCAGAATAGCACCAGCTATAGAGGACTACAAATCCCAGCAGTAGTACATTATAACTGGTGCCATTCTGCATTGCGCTGTATAATGTATTATTGCTGGGATTTGTAGTCCTCTATACAGCGCAATGCAGAATACTGCCAGCTATAGAGGAATACAACAAATCCCAGCAATAATATACATGCAGTGTATAATGTATTGCTGGGATTTGGATTCCTCTATAGCTGATGGTACATTGCTCTGTATAATATACATTATAGAGCACCATGTGTGGGGGAAAGTGAGGGCTTACCTGACCATCGGGCCCTTATGTCGGCAGCTATCTTCCCCCACGCCTGCTCCTCCTTACTTCTTCTCCCCGTGCCGATCTTGGATGTGGGCAGGCGGTGAGTGTGAGGCGGGGAGGCGTGTGGAACGTGGATGCGGGCCTGGGAGCGGTGAGCGTGAGGCGGGGAGGAGGTGCGGCGCGCAGCGTGTGTGGAGCCGTGAACAGGGCCAACTAATCGAAAGCCGATTAATCGATGATTGAAAACGTTGACAACTTTAGTCGATTAGTTGTTGCAGCCCTACACAGAAGTATATTTACTAATGTCCTCCTGTGACCCAATGTCAGCATGTAGAGGGCTACTGCCTGTTATAGGCTGGCAGCACTGCAGCCCGACAATGTTGAGATCCATCCTACTGCCCGCTATCTAGAGCTGTGCCCTCTGTACCCACCCTCTTCCCTGTCTCTCCCCCCAATAAGTACTGGAGGAGCAGAGAGGGGAGGGGGGAATCCCTGACTGACAGTCATTAATCTCTGCATGGAGAAGACCATGAGCTTACCGATCAGCGAATTGTGATCGCTCAGCTCTTGATCTATACTATAGAGCTGGCATGTGACAGCCGCAGTGTCACGCGTCACCTGAAAGTATCGGGAAGAATACATTTTACTCTCCTAATAATTCGCCATTAAGTGGCAGTCAATCACCAGAAAACAAATGGGCCCCGATGTATGCACAGAGTATCTGCACAATATGGCCGACTTACCTAGCAAAGCAATCCCCTCCAGCGCTGTGATGCCCACACTCTTCTCCATCACCATTGCTTATGTCCTAATCCGGTCTTCTTCCTGGTTCAGAGTCTTCGGCCATCTTGATTGGCCGGGCCAGGATGCCACATGTGCACAGGAGTTACTTCAATCCAGCATAAAATCATGCCGGGCGTGCACAGCTCAGTGTACAGGCTGAGCTCCTCCTAACACTTGCTGTCACTCAAATTGAACACCAGAGGGCGCTATTGCTGCTTGAATCATTACTGAACCACATACAGGTACAGCACTAGGAGGGAGTACATCGCCGAAGCATTGAAGAAGAACTCCACATGCAGCCACATTTCTGAGATCTCTCGGGCAAACCTGATGACTGCAATGATTTGTGGTCTGTATACAGCTCATGGCGGCTCCCTGGGAGGATGAAGCAGGGAGTTTATGGAACATCCAGAAGCGTATCTCCAGTGTGCAGCATTTTCATATGCCAGCGAGTGGTCCAGCAATTCGCCAGCAAAAGGTTTGCTAAAGAGAACGCTCGCCTGCTTCTTCATTGGCTAAAACACTGCAGAGTGTCGCTCACCAGTGCGAGACCAGCAACGCCGCAATGTCCCCCTGGTTGGGTCAGCAACGGAGCAGCATGGCTAAAGCAGGTGGGTGGTCCTGCTCTCCTAATCATCCTGTGGGTGGCAACCTTCAGCCAGCAACGGGACCCCTGGTGTGACATTGGCCTTACTGTACCCACACCGCCCTCTAGTGACCGATGTTCATACTGAGAGGGAGCCAAGGGATGCCAGGTTTCATCCATTTTTGCAGCACTAGGATCTGTCCGCAGAACCCACACAGATATGCGGCATGTTTTCGGTCTCTGCCCCGTGAGCCGATTCAGGATCAGATTACATGCAGCCTGTTAATTCTGAGTTCATCTCTTCGATGTATTTTCGCAGAATGCATTATACATGACATTAAATGAGTCAGTAAGGTGGAATTACTGCAATGTAATACTGAGATGGTGAAGTATTTGTGTACAGAGCCAGACTACGTCCACTCACCTGGAGGACGATGATCAGGAAGAGGCCGAGGCAAGCGTACGGAACAAACTTCCTAGTGAGGACGAGGACACATCCAGCTGTGCAGAGACAAGATATTATATTAACAAAAAGGAAGCCTTACAGTTCAGCTTCACAGGGACAGACGGATTAAGGCAGAATGGGGCCCTAAGCAAGGTTACATCAGCACCCCCCACCCACCCCCATTGCCACCCCATTTCAATGTCTTTAAACACATGGCCCCATCAGACACCAACTTCTCTGACAGTCAGGTGATGGCGTTGACCAATGGCTCTACCCCCCCTGGTTTACAGCAAGAAAGTTGTAGCTGGGGCCCCCAGACATCTACTGGTCCCTGGGCTCCTGTCTAGGTTGTCTTGTATAAGATCTGCTTGAAGGACAACCCTATTGTGAGAAGAGTGGAGATGGAGAACACTGCGGTGGGCACACGGGTGAGGACTATGGAGACTATTAGGAGGGGTTTAAACTCCACAGCACAGAGAGAACTCCTCTGACTTCACCTTTCCCCTCTGACAGCCTGCCAAGTCTCCGGAGATGACACATATCCATCGATCAATACAGCCAGGAGGACTGCTGACGTCACATGACGCACCTCAACACATCAGTATAGATATATATCCACTGCATGCTGTGCTCTGCGGCTCAGGAAGAGGCTCGTCCCACCAGAACATAACAGGGGTCATTGGCTCATGGATTAGCACCGCAGTGGTCAACTTACTAGGGGGCCCCGATCATCCCCAATTACATGATATCCAGTGAATGTAATGCTATAGAAAGCGGTCAAGGAATGCAGACATGCAACAGGAGACGGGCAGAGGCCGCAGACATGCAACAGGAGATGGGCAGACATGCAACAGGAGACGGGCAGAGGCCGCAGACATGCAACAGGAGACGGGCAGAGACTGAACATGCAACAGGAGACGGGCAGAGGCCGCAGACATGCAACAGGAGATGGGCAGACATGCAACAGGAGACGGGCAGAGGCCGCAGACGTGCAGAGACTGAACATGCAACAGGAGAAGGGCAGAGACTGAACATGCAACAGGAGAAGGGCAGAGACTGACCATGCAACAGGAGAAGGGCAGAGACTGACCATATAACAGGAGAAGGGCAGAGACTGACCATGCAACAGGAGAAGGGCAGAGACTGACCATGCAACAGGAGAAGGGCAGAGACTGAACATGCAACAGGAGAAGGGCAGAGACTGAACATGCAACAGGAGATGGTCAGAGACTGAACATGCAACAGGAGATGGTCAGAGACTGAACATGCAACAGGAGATGGTCAGAGACTGAACATGCAACAGGAGAAGGGCAGAGACTGAACATGCAACAGGAGAAGGGCAGAGACTGAACATGCAACAGGAGATGGTCAGAGACTGAACATGCAACAGGAGATGGTCAGAGACTGAACATGCAACAGGAGATGGTCAGAGGCGGTAGACATGCAACAGAAGATGGGCAGAGATTGCAGACATGCAACAGGAGATGTGAAGGGTTTTCAGGTGACCCCCTGGGCCACAGCTTGGGCATCCGGAGCTTAGTAGGCAATACTGGCCATACTATTGGACTAGAAAGCTGCCAAATCCGCTGCTCACAAGCTCTGTGCACTAGTAGCACACACTCGATATAGGGACATCCAGGTTGTAGCTGCATTGGCCAGATCCATGGTTTCCCACATTACGCCCCGATGAATGAAGATCTGGACGGGTGCTTTGCATGCATTCCCTTTAAGAGGACCTGTAATGGGCAGCCGGGATGTTCAATAGTGATAATCTGCATCAGGACAGAGCTGCGCACCCATGAACAGTGTCCCCTCCGGATGGCGTCCAACACTCACCTAGCTGTCCAAACATATTAATGAGGACGAAGATGGTGGCCAGGAACATCCCACAGCCCCACGACATGCTGATGTAATCCCGCTGCTCGTTCCATTGCAGCCACATACGGAGCCCGTCTTCCAGGAAGGTGCTGATCAGGCACAGGTGAGCCAGATGAGGAAGATAGCGCTTGGTGACCCGGAGGAACTGCAAGACAAATGACATGGACGGGGGTCACCTCAGTACAGGAAACACAGCACACCTTACCTGCCTTTCAAGGCCTTGAAGCACCGTGGACAGGGGACCCCTTCCCTGTGCATGATGCCTCATTCAGGGCCCCGTGTGAGTGACGCCGTGTATTCTAGGAGAACATGTTACCGCCATGCATGAAAAGTAAAAGAAGAACGTTCATGTATCTGACTTCCTACAACCCGCCTGCACCATGTGTACAGAGAAGTCAATCAGAGGTTATCACTCCGTGTGTACACAGTACATGGTGCCAGCCTGCCGGCTTGTTTGCAGGTCACATCAGTACATCAGCTCTGTACACAGATGAAGAGTCAACGCCAGAATACAACTTCATTCCCAGCCGTTATCATGGCCCACGGTGCAGGGGCTTGCTTCTTCTTGGATGTCAGTGCATAGCTCCATCAGTTCCCCAACTCTCTTCCCCCCTCTCTCACCCTCCTCCCTTCCTCCCCTCTCTCACTCACTCACCCTCCTCTCCCCTCTCGCACTCCTCTCCCCTCTCTCGCACTCCTCTCCCCTCTCTCGCACTCCTCTCCCCTCTCTCGCACTAAAACATGAGACTGCCAGAGGTTCAGTACATGAATCCTACTCAACTGCTGGGCAGGGACTGAAGGAACCGTCCACTTCCGCTCTCTCATTATAACAGCCCTTGTAGACTCCACACGGCTGAGATCATTTGACTTTCTAGAATCCCAAATTCCTGATCACAGTAACAATATCAAAGGTTTCCCTTTGATGAAAACTTGGGGAAGGCGGGGGCAGGGAAGGGGGTAAATATCTAAGGGGGGGTAAATAATTATTTTAATGGGAGATTTGTTGCCTCCAGTCACGCTTTAACATAGCGCAGCGGAGCTCTCAGCTAGCAGTCGGTATAAATTAATCATTCACAGACGGGCCCTGGCCATAAAACAATGGCGCGCGTGGATTTATTTGCGCTCGGATTTGCTCGGCTCGCCCGGCCATGAAAACATTTACTGCCGTTTAGTTTAGTTTATGACCTTTTATTTTTTTTTTATTTCACAGCTGTCAGCACAAAGGACGTAACTCCGGCAGCGCTGCCAACTCATCCCTTTAATTAAGGACGCGCGTTACACGGGTTCTCTGGCTGATTAAATCTATAATTAACCGCGGAACCTGCATCACCGACACGCCAGTAATGAAGGAGAAGACCCGGGTGTGTTACACGGGACCGCCGGAGGATCCGGGAACATGAAAGAGGAGCGAAGCGGAAAATTATATACCCGACGCATTCTAGTCACTTCACTAAAGACGCCAACGTTTCCTCTGCGGGCGGTGTGCCTGAGGGGAATGTAGTGGCCCCAGGACCTGGGCTCAAATAGGGGGTCTATGGTCATGTAGCCACCGTAGTATCATGTAGTGGGAATAGGGTCATGTAGCGGGCCTAGGAGCATATAACGGACCTATGGTCATGTAGCCACCCTAGGATCATTTAGCAGGCTTACGGTCATGTAGCCACCCTAGGATCAGGTAGTGGGCATAGGGTCATGTAGCCACCCTAGGATCATATAACGGGCCTATGGTCATGTAGCCACCCTAGGATCAGGTAGTGGGAATAGGGTCATGTAGCTGGTCTAGGGTCATGTAGCCACCATACGATCATTTAGCGGGCCTACGGTCATGTAGCCACCCTAGGATCAGATAACGGGCCTATGGTCATGTAGCCACCCTAGGATCAGATAACGGGCCTATGGTCATGTAGCCACCCTAGGATCAGATAACGGGCCTATGGTCATGTAGCCACCCTAGGATCAGATAACGGGCCTATGGTCATGTAGCCACCCTAGGATCAGATAACGGGCCTATGGTCATGTAGCCACCCTAGGATCAGATAACGGGCCTATGGTCATGTAGCCACCCTAGGATCAGATAACGGGCCTATGGTCATGTAGCCACCCTAGGATCAGATAACGGGCCTATGGTCATGTAGCCACCCTAGGATCAGATAACGGGCCTATGGTCATGTAGCCACCCTAGGATCAGATAACGGGCCTATGGTCATGTAGCCACCCTAGGATCAGATAACGGGCCTATGGTCATGTAGCCACCCTAGGATCAGATAACGGGCCTATGGTCATGTAGCCACCCTAGGATCAGATAACGGGCCTATGGTCATGTAGCCACCCTAGGATCAGGTAGCGGGCCTACAGTCATGTAGCCACCCTAGGATCAGGTAGAGGGCCTACGGTCATGTAGTCACCCTAAGATCATGTAGCGGGCCTAGGGTCATGTAGTCACCCTAAGATCATGTAGCGGGCCTATGGTCATGTAGTCACCCTAAGATTATGTAGCGGGCCTATGGTCATGTAGCCGCCTAGGATCATATAGCGGGCCTATGGTCATGTAGCCGCCCTAGGATCAGGTAACGGGTCTACGGTCATGTAGCGGGCCTAGGATCATGTAGCCACCTAGGATCATGTAGCGGGCCTATGATCATGTAGCGGGCCTATGATCATGTAGCCACCCTAGGATCATGTAGCCACCCTAGGATCACGTAGCCATGACGGAGATGTTCCTCCGCTCCTTTATGTACAAAGTAAAATGAACGGACAGTCAATGTAAAGCCGGATATACGCTGGTCCAGTTTCTACCAGTATGTGGCCCTTTCGGCCCCTCCAGTCAGCGATGGTCGATATTTGACTTGTATTCCGCCATTGTCAGACTACAATCATCCAGCCGAGGGGGGAACTTTCTTCTCCATGACGTGGAATCGAGCGTTTTTGTGCGTTCAGGGGCCGGGATGTGATGTAATCCTTGTTCCTCCCACCAGAGTAGAGAAGCGAATGGATTTTCACTCCTCTCCCTCCGCACATCCGCCATGGACGTTCCACCATCGGGAGTCTGCGTACAAGGCCCTGCTACCACCAGCACAAGCCTTAGGAAGGGTCCACATCCAGAACCAAGTGACTTGGACACCTGAGGAAGGACCCCACGTGATGTAAACAGGAGAAGAGGCGGGGCAGGAGCATCATGTGACTGTGGGTTTAGTTAAGAAAAAAGGGCATTTAGATTTTCCTTTTTGGAATGCCAGCGGCCAGTTACAGGGGGAAGTTTGATGGTGGAGATTAGGAAACACGACCATGCTACGTATAGCACCCTCAATATTGCTGAATGATGAAATCTGGTCCAAAAGGTGGACTAAGCTCTTAACAGTCATCAGATGTGGCGGCTTATGCATCCGTTTTCAGGCTTATTTTCATCAACCTGGCGGTGACAACCCTCACCATACTGTGTCTATGGAGAAGCAGCGTCGTCACCTTAGGACAGGAAATGTGTTTGGACTACAGAACACCTACACTTCTTCATAACAAAGGGGGATGGGTTCTGTAGTCCACAGAGAAAACAATAACTGATAACTTCCTGTGCTCTTTGCCTGTCCTGTTATCAGATCACGGGATGTCTGGCAGGACCTGCACTTATCAAACAGATCTAACAAAACACTTTGAATTGTATGTTTAACAGAGCAAAGGGGAGGAAATAGGAGGAGTTCAATGTTAGGGGGTACATGAACTTTAAGGGTTAGACCATCCAGCTGTTTCACCTCCAGCAGCTGTTTCCTGTCCTGTAGCAATAATGGGACTTGCAGTGGCTCAGCAGCTGGAGAGCCACAGGTTGCCCAATATTGCAGAGTCAGGAAGCAATCTGCAGATCATACACTGATTGTACTAACATGTATCAGACACATACGAATGGTGACAATAAGCTGCTCCACCGTAATTAAACAGCTGGCACTGTAAGAGTTAATGTCGTGACCAAATAATGTCCACGTTATCTCCCTCTTATCAAATGGTTTCTCCCATTCTCCGCTGCCAAAGCACTCATGACGGGACATACCAACAACTCCTGGAGGAAGGAAAAGGGGAACCATGGACCATACCATTATAATAAAAAAGAGTTATATAGGGACAAGGGTATATCAAAGACAGAAGACTGGAAGGACGATCGGACAATGGCTGGGGGTAAGCTGTTACCTTTTCGGCCAGTTCCTCAGCGGCTACCATCAGATCCCCTGGCGCCATCTCCTCCTGTGCTGCCCTTCAGTGAGCCCGTCCGCCCAGCAGTCAGACTGAAGCAATGATTGCCGGGGGGCGTGGCTCCCCGTCCTGGCAATTGGACTCGCTGCCATTGGACGAAAACTTGAGGTTAGGTAAACCACGTCTGCCGTTCCGCCAATGACTGCACCCCAGCTCACGCTTCATTGAAGTGTTTACTATGAGAGCGGACTGCGGCAGGAGCAGGGCGGCCATCTTGGGTAAGGGTGCTTTGCCCACACTGTCAACGTGGACTCGGAGGAATAATTGCAGTGATTAATGGTGTTGAGTCAGTCTGCAGAATAGAGGTGAGGGCCGGGTGGTGTGAGGGGAAGAATAGAATACCGAGGTATGGACATGCGCACATGTGACTGTGTCTGTATCAGGGTTGGTGGCTGTTTTCTATGTATACAGAGACATCCTTGATTTGTATTGGGATGCCCCATTCTCCATTTTCACCAACGTGCACTCCCCTCATAGTAAAATGAAGCAAAACCGTTGCTAGCAGCATTCATTTTGGATATAAAGTGAACCGCCAGTGCCACCCAAATGTCATACCCTCCAACATTTCACAAAGGAAAAACAATGTACGAATGGCACACCCCTCCCCCTACTCCTTAGTGTCCATCTACATTTGTGTGGTGCGTTAATGCGCGTTACAAGTTATTGCGCGCGTTAACGTGCATTGCATTAAGGTGGCCTATTAAAATATGTAACGCGTGTTGCGGAGAAACACGCGCGTTCGTGCAATGCATAGATGTTAATTGGCCCTTAAAGCCTAATTCCACCTATAATACCATTTGTTATGTGTTTTTATTAGAGAGATACAAAAACAACCACAAAGTTTATGAATATGAACCATAAAATACAAAAGACAAATCAGTTAAAAAAAACCAAAAGTAGCTCGGAGGAAAGGAGGATAACTAATGATGGGTAATAGGTGGTTACATACAAACAACTGTAATTCTGATTTTTCACAGTTGCAGGATTCCGTCATAGAAAATTCACTGTCACCCGTTCTCTGATAAAGACCGTGTCCAGCTGTGAAACTCACAGGCACTCTTACGGTGAAAATTCTCTCTGGGATGTCTCCTGTCCACAGATCTCTCCGGGTTGTCTCCTGTCCACAGATCTCTCCGGGTTGTCTCCTGTCCACAGATCTCTCCGGGTTGTCTCCTGTCCACAGATCTCTCCGGGTTGTCTCCTGTCCAAAGATCTCTCCGGGATGTCTCCTGTCCAAAGATCTCTCCGGGTTGTCTCCTGTCCAAAGATCTCTCCGGGCTGTCTCCTGTCCACAGATCTCTCCGGGCTGTCTCCTGTCCACAGATCTCTCCGGGATGTCTCCTGTCCACAGATCTCTCCGGCATGTCTCCTGTCCACTGATATGTCTGGGCTGTCTCCTATTCTCCTTAGCCTTTCAATCTTGTGAGGACGATCCAGGGAAGACACTCTCAGAGAACTTCCATGACTGTCTTCATGAGTGACTGTTTTTGTAAAACGCTCCACTTCCAGTCTGTGGTTTTGATGAGAAGGATTCATTGTACACAGGTTGTATACCGATGTCATACAAGAAACCCATTCCTCCATGCTGCGCCCTATAGGGCATCATGTGGGGCTCTGCGTTCATCAGGTATAGCATTGCATAGCACTGACCCGAACTATAAATGCGACATTCAGGTGATATATTTGTTCATAACATAGCGAGGCGATGATGTTAGTTTTCATCACAAGGCTTCCTGCACCAAAAACAAGATCGGCAGCTCCCCTATTATTAAAAAAAAAAGTATATTCTACACTAAAGCACCACCTAGTGTGTTCCATTTAAATTCAGGAACAAGGAGGGTTTATAGCTAGACAAGCCATGCATAAGGGTATGGTGTCGGAACGCAGCACTTGAAATCGTGGGCGAAGGCAAGCTTTAGAGAACTGGTTTGAAGCAAAAGTTAAATATTCTTCAAGGACCTGCTGGTACCTTTATGTAGAGCAAACTGACCTACACCTATAGAGTGTAGAAATATGTGCTTACCCTTCAGCACTAAACAAAGCACCACCGTGAATGCACCATGTGTTGTGGTGTGCTGCATTGGCCAAAAGATAGAGTAGGGCCGTGGTTCTCAACTGGTGGGTCGTGACCCCATGTTCAGTGGGTCGCCACATGCCTTCCTCTGCACAAGGTCAGAGGCTCCTCAGCCGCCATGGTGGGTTGTGTGGGTCGCAACCCCGTGTTCAGTGGGTCGCTGCATGCTTTCCACTTTAGGAGAGAGGCTCCTCTGCCCCTCCCCAGCGCAGCACTGTCAGTTCCCGTGCCGAGCGGCAATTCAAAATATGCTACCGAGTGTCAGCTTGAGGTGGGGTGGGCTGGGGGTATGACCGTGAGGGAGCTCCATCTATACTTACAGCTCCCCCACGTGACCCGACTGACGTCACATTTTGGTTCACGCCACCTCTACAGGGAGTGTAAGGGAACTATACAAGCAATGCACATATGGATGGAGCTCCGCCACAGCACAGCAGCCCACACTGAACCCCTAAAAAAATGTTGGGACTGTGTTGGTGTCTACTGTGTGTGAGATTGTGTCTGTGGCTGCGTGTGCATGTCAGTGTTTAATCACAAACTACCACGCAATCGCACCTACTGTTCGTTCTGATGCAGGAGGTGCATTGTGTTGCCATTCATTTGAATGGCACACCAAACACACTGCCCTCCCACAGTGTGATCTCTTGCTCCGGAACTTGCAGTACCGCAGTGCCGTGCGTTCCAGTGTGGTGTGACTTGGGTTGCGACTTAATGACCAAGGACAAATGTGGGGGTCCTGACATTATACAGGTTGAGAACCACTGGTGTAGGGATTCATGAGTTGAAGCTCGTTAAGGGTCAGTGCCTTGTGAACGGGCTATCCTAATGCAACACTTGCCAACACATATGCAAACATGCCACTTTGTTATATGATAACTCACTTATCCGGTCCTGTATCTGACATTCTAAAAATGTTGTATTTGTACTCACCACTTATATCAGGTCATAGTGTTCACAGTGCCGGTCCCATAAACCAGGCTTGTAGGGGAAGCTCCTGTTGCATCATGAAACTCAAAGTTTTTTTTCCTGCTACAGACCTGATGAACTGTGTTTTACAAAGGATGACACCTGGAAATGAACATTCAAATGTCTGCATGTGTGGACATCAGTTGGAGGCACAAAGGCCAAAGACGGCACATCAAGTAAGTTTGCTTTTAAAGACAGGCTTATATTGATGATATCTAGAATATAAAACATGGTTTTGCTATGTGGCCAATTTAGATCAAATTTTGCTTATTTCTCCTTTAAGCCTCCCAATTGAATATAAATAGGACTGGCGCAGGCCAGAAAATGCACAGTGCAATGGAAATAGGACTCGAGCAGGCCTGATATGTACACAGGAAGGAAATCAAGTTTCATTTTGAGATTTAGGAAGCATTACATTGTTCAGTGTCTAAATGGGGAAGTCTCCTTTGTGCGACACTATTGAAAGGAAGTGGCAATTATCCAATGCTACAGAGAGGAAGAGGCAAGATTTCTGCAAATCTCACAATGGAAGGGGTAAAGACGTAGCAGCGAAAATTAAACAGCTGCACTTATGAGCACCGGGTGATGGAAGTCCTTTATTTAAGCTGCATGTCATGGCAGGATAGACTACAACTCCCAACAACAGGGCAGAATTATTTGCACAGTTTCAATATACTGGCTGTAGCACACACATATAATATTGCAATTTGTGATTTATACTAAAAAATGAGCCATATGCTGTCAGCCGGATTTCCCACAAGGCCACCCAAGGGCCGGCCTTGGGGCAGCAGGGAGTAGAGGGGCAGCAGGAGTTCGGTATTCCTATCTCATGATGCCCGGGACATGCAGTTCCGGGCGCCGGGCGGGTAGTTGTTTTCTACATCTAGCCCTGCTTTGGGCAAGCATAGCTAAATTTACAGCGGGGAAGCTGCCGCTTGTTTTGTACATGTGATCTCAGCAAAGTCGCCGAGATCACTTGTATGCAGGTCTGCCATTCTCCATATGGGGGGGCGCATTGAGGAACCTGGCCTTGGGGCAGCAGAGAGAGTAAATCGGGCCCTGGCTGTCAGCAGTTGATGGTGGGGGTCACACCAATAGCAAAGAAGTCTCTAACTAGAATATGAGAGGTGGTGGCAACCAACCATGGGCAGTCTCAGGACTACTTTGGCAACAAACACTTACCACTGCACCCCATGGGTCCGTTAGTTTACTAATAGGCAGGGAGACCAAGTGCAAGGAGGTAAATAACCATACTTTAATAATTTAAAGCAAAGTGACAGGTTCCCTTGAAAGTCCCTGCCCCACTCACCTACTGATACGTACCTTTCCTGTTCTCTGTTCATCTCTCGGAAAACACAAAGTCTAATCCCTGTGTCAGCTTTGTATCAGTTTCGGAGATCCCCCATGTGACAATGCTCTGGCAGTGCGACTGGCCACCAGAATGGCCAGTTTGTACTGTGTATGGCCCTTCCATGTACACCTTACTTTAAAAGATTTTTAAACTGAGTGTGGTTGCCATTTGCTTCACTTGCTGGCTACTTAAATGGACGCATTGAGCGATTTCTGAGTATCAGGGACCAGGGAAGTGATCTTACGAGAACTTGTAACTTTACACTGAATGGTCAAAGTGACAGAGGCCCTTACAGGTTCACAGTCTAATAAGTTAACATGGTGGTTTCCAGTAGTACCAATTTTATGCAATATGAAACATAATACACTCAGGTAGCTCAGTGGTCCCTAACAAAAATGGACTGTGGGGTATAAGATGGTACAGAGGCTCTCCTAAAGACTGCTTTATGGCCTTTACCACAGCCCTTGTGATGCTATGATTATGGCTTTTGGCGTACTCCAGTTGCAGTTGGTGAAATGTGAAGCCGAGTTTGAGAAGAAAGACGCACACCAAGGATTGAAGACTTGCTAAAAGATTGCCACAATTTAGATTACACTATCACCTGCAATCACCATAGAATCCTGTTAGGACCTAAGAACCTAGATGGGGCCCCATGCATGCAGTCA